AGGGTATTTTAAACAAAAGACATAAAGAGGCTTTAAAGAAATTGAAAGCAAATGAGAGCACAATGACCTCCAGACCTAACAAAGGCTCAGGAGTTAATATCATCGATAAGTCTGATTACTCTAGTAAAATTGAGATTTACTAAGTGATGCGTATCAACTTTAGAAGCTATCTACTAACAGAGATACAACGGACGGGACATAGAGATGATTAACAGTCGTTAAAAAGTTGAAACAACAAGGCCATATTTCATTTGCCATGTATGAAACACTAAAACCTATCGGCACGATGCCACCAAGGTTATACGGCTTGCCAAAGATTCACAAAAACGGCTTGACAATTACACCGGTCCTCCATATATCTAGCTCCCCATACCATTCCACTACGAAATGGCTGGTGAAACTTTTACAGCCATTGCATAAGAAACTTGTAAAAAAATAGCGTAAAAGATATTGTTTTGAGTTTGAAGGAAGAATCACGGAATTAAATGTGAAAGATTCCCCAACGTGCCTTTTGATGGAAGCAGTTGATTACACGGGTAGTGAATTGATAAAGCAAGGTATAGAGTCTGCGATTCCTGTGTCTTCCCTAAAGGAATTTTTTCCAAGGTGTACAATAAACATAAACTTTCTGCTCAATAAAGAAATATATGGACAATCAGATGGTGTTGCAATGGGATCTCCATTAACGCATTTTTTTTCTGAGAAAACTAGAGAATGTTCCTCTTAAATATGTAATACCATAATCTTGATTTCTATTGCCGACATGTGAATGATACGTTTATAGTTCTGAAGAACGAAAGTGAGACTATGGACATATTAGATAAATTCTATAAAGCACATCCTAGAATAAGCTTCACTAAGAAAGAAGAAGACGAAAATGACTCTATCTCCTTTTTGAAAGCTCTAATGACTAAATGAACAGACGGAACAATATGAAGATGTCTGCAAAGAAAGCCTCCATCCACTGCATAATATACTCAGTTCTTGAGCTTCATACTTCTACAATACAAACGTAATCTGGTTAGATGTCTGCTTCATTGGGCTAGAGTCATCTGTTCAAATGAGACACTAAATGAAGAACTCGGTAATATTTATGACCTACTAAGTAGAAACGGATATCCAACTAAATTCTTGAACTCGATAATATTGGCGATATTCGTAATAGGAACGAATATCCCACTAAATAAGTTAACAAACACATGAACTCAGAAAGTAAAAAAAGTCGAAGTTGCTGACTGTTCCCAAAAAATCAGACTTCTTAAGATTGCAACTCACGGGCAATGTCATTAGCGAGATCTTATTACAACGTTTGAGAAGGACCCTCAAAAGGACTTTCAACGCAGCTAACCTATGCTGTACATACATCACTAGCTAACCAATACTCAGTCCAAGAAATAAAGACAAACTGCCCCGTTGCGCTTCTTCTATGTGTATTTACCAGTTTAACTGCCCATGTGGAGCTAGTTACATGGGGCATACGATCAAGCAAGTTCATCGTCGAATTTTTGAACACCTCCTATCTCGGTTTGGCAAAGGTTCGAATAAAGCTGCTATACACAGCTCAGTAATGGCTCATCTCGTCGATGCTAGACATCGAATTGACTCTAACAAAGCTTTTAAAGTTATTTATCGACTATCACCCAATCTCTCGCCGCATGGTCTACGAGTACGACTTTTATATACAGTAGAGGCAATCGGAATTCATCTGAACAAGCCAAATTTTTTGTGTTCAAAAAATATTTGTACAGCTGCTTTCTTTGTTAAGGCCAACTACATAATAAGTATTAATAATAATAAAATAATTTTTCCTTCACGTTCCCAGTGGAACATAGGGCTCCAAGCTAGTGGCTTGAAGTTTCTGTAGCAGTGTTTAATTTTTATAGGATGGGGTTGCTAGCCTCATGCCCAACCTTTCCTCTTTACCAGCATTATTTCTGGCTCAGTGAGGTAAAGGAGTGCGCCGGCCGGGGATCGAATCCCGGACCATATGCACGGTAGGCGAGCGTCCTAACCGCTATACCACCGACGCACTCATAATAAGTATTAGTTTTTATTTATTGACTTTTTCACCTTCCCTTGACTTTGTTAGTTCCTACAATTCTAGCCAATGCTATTAACTTGTTTGTATTTTACGTAACTATTCTCAGTCATCATTACTATTTTATAAATTTCTTGATTACATAATAGCTTGTTGCCAACGCCTAAGAATCAATTTATCTTGAATTCCGTAATTAATCGGCTTTCACCCTTTCAAAACTTAGATGTCCTGTTACTAACATCAATTATTTAATCGTTTTGACGACTTTTAACCTCTAAATTTACCCCCCCCCACCTCTGTACCTAAAACTGATTGGTACAAAATTTTGATGTAAAACCACATATCAGCATAAAGTCATCCGATGGTGAGGAACTAATTGAAAAGAAATGCCTATTTCATTACTCAGTTTGTTGTTTTTCCTAAATGTGTAAATGGGAATTTAAAAATACCAATTTTACTCAGGGTCTTCTCACAGAAATCCAGTGAACGTGGTTAATATTATACTTTTAACAGAAAGCGTGATTCATCGTGTGTGTGTGTGTGCCGACTTAATTATTTTTGAAAGGCAATTGGGATAAGTGTGTACACTTCTTTTGTTTGTAATTTCAACCAGGTGGAAAAAAGTGAAGTCAGGCAGACTATTGTTATGTACTGATCGAGTAATTAATAGTCCTGATGCAAGAAGGCGGAAATCAGAAAACCACCAGGTTCACGATGACAAATGTATTTTTCAAACAACAAGGAAAATCAATGTCACATAAGTGTATGAGCGAATGTTCAAAAGTGAACGAATCAATAGACAGTCTTAACATGATTGGTTGTAATGTCATGTGACAACAAGGTCAGACATATTTGTTTAGTTAGTGGACAGACGAAAACATATTGTCAATTATAATGGAATATCGATCCATATATACATAGCAAAATATAACAGACTGTCAAAAACAAACACACATATTATGTGGATACATGTCAACTATATGCTATTGATGTTTCTTTTCTTTCTCTTCACTACCTTGAGTTCCGAGTGGAACATCCGGCTTTCATCTGGGGCTTTGAAATTTCAATAGCTGTGACGTTGTTCTTACGATGTAAGGTTGCCGGCCAAACACCGAAGGAGTACATTGATCGGGAAATCAAAGCAAATCAAGGGAGGTGTAGTTGGAGAGTATTATTAAGAACTGTTTCCACTATAACATTATACTCTGTCACATCCTTTACCGAAAGTTGGAACTTATTAAATTCCCCTAAAAGACGCTGAAATCTAAATGTTAGTAGAAGTTTACTGTGAAGCGAAAAATACGGCTCGAATTGCAATCACTGTGTAAAGCATAGATGGATCATAAGACTCTGAAGCCTACTGTTGAAATCAGTTAACTTCCCCTTGTGGTAACTCATATAGGCGAAACCAATGGGTAACAGCCAACCACTTGCTGATAGTTAATCAGCTATAGGATAAAATTCTGAAGTTGAAATGGAAGTCAATGGTTACTCATTTCCTTAGTAATGGGAGATGCAAATAAGTGTCTAGGTTCAGGGGATAGAAATATCTGGACTCAGAGTGAAAATTATGAGATGCTGGCAAATGTCTGACATTCAATGTCATGAATCCATTGAGTAGCATCAAAACGTAGCACAATGATTACATCAAGTGACAACCATGTACATGGTCCGCGGTTCCATCCCCCACAGATGCACACCTGATATCAATGGTTGGCCTGCTAAATTTTGGCTACCAATATCATATGCTGAAAATTCCATGCTTGTACCAAATTACTGTATGCAATCAAGCTTTAGTAAAATAAATAAAGCGCCCATAGGTTTTATCATCAGTAGTAATTCCATACAAGGAAGGAACCTCGGAAGACTTACGCAGAATTCTTAACAAGGCAGGAAAATAAAAGTGGCTGGAATTCAAACCCACAAACTCAATTAGAAACAAGTCTTGTCGGTTAAAGGGTTAATCCTGTGGAGCCTTTAAAACAAAACAATTTAGTGTATCTGATACCCTGCCTGCAATGATTGTCAGGTCAAATACATAGGTCGAAGCAGTAGAACAGGGGCAGTCAGACTAACCGAACATAAAAACCTAGCAAAATCTAGATTAGTTGACCCGAATAAGATAAGAAATCTGGAGAATTGTTCAGCTATAGCACTTCACCCCATGCAGTTACACACAACCATACAATAGGATGGATGGTATAGGATGACAGTTTTAAAATCTAATGTCACAGGGTGGAGGGAGAGATTGATAACAGAAGCTTTATTTATCGAATCAACTGCAAATACATGTAATAGGAATGATTCAACACCTGTCCACCCATATATCTGGAAAATTCTACTATCTCTACGACGACAAATAGGAGAGGACAAAGAAAACTATAAAACTCAAGTTTCGGAGACGTGGGAATATAATAGATATGATTATGAACAATAAATTTTGTTCCAAAACCATCCAGTAAATAATAATACTGCTTCACCGTGTGATACATCTAAATAAACAAAGTAATACGGAATTACTTACTACCACAGTGTCCAAGTTTTACACATATATATTAATACGTCTACTACTCTTTAGTCGGTTTTCAATGGTTCTTTTTTTTGATGCATCAGTCCGTAATCAGACTTGAAAATTATTCTGATACACCTTAGTGACTGATTGGCTGCAGGACGAAGTTCCCTGGAGTAGTTCTAGTAAGGGAATGAGGACAAGTATTCGCCAGCAATGACATTGGCTGGCATCAGTCGTGCTAAACTCATAAATTGATGAATGTTACAATTCATGGACTGGCCACTGAGTCACATCCTAGCGGATGAATGGTCTATCAATTTGCCTGCCTTATAACCGGAGGGTACTAAGGGTGGTGGGTGCATACCGATGAAGAGTCTCAAACTAGGACGAAACAGTCGCGATTAGGTATCAAATCTCTACAAACAACTACTTTTGAAAACAATTAATAATAAATCAATAAAAGAGTATTTTATAGAATTGTGTAAAGGAAATATTTTATCACATTATATCATGCATATCAGACACACATACACGCACGCACACATCACAGTAGGAATTTCGATTAACAAAGGGGCTTTGAAGAGAAAGATACACACATTACAGAACAGTCAATTCAATGAAGAAGAGAATGAGAATATTAAGAAATAATAAAAAAGGCGGTTAATAATAGTAATAATAATAATAATAGCTGTCACAACGGCTGATAAATTACGTGATAAAGTGTATGCATGAGCAGTAGTGCGTAGTGGATTAGAAGAAGAAGAGGAAAGCCGTGTATATCAATAAATAAATAAATTGAGCAGTGCATGAATCCCACTCTATGAAAAAAAACGACACTACCAACAGCTCAAATAAGAATAAGGACAAAAGAGTCCCAGCTTCCCACTCTATCTCTCTTCCTCTCTCTCTCTCTCACACACACACACACGGACTTTTGCCTTCAATGAGCGACGTTGTTGTACATATATATAGATAGATAGATAAATAGATAAAAATGCTTTTGAGCAAGCCTACGTTGAAGAGAGAAACAAACAGGAGGAAGAAGAAGGAGAATACCATGGTGCGTATGAATGAATGAATGAACGAATTTCTCACGATAATAACTCACCTTTGAATAAGTTAATAAATAAATAGAAAACACGTACTTGATGATGAGAGAGAAAAAGAGCGCGCGCACCCCGGAGAGAGACAGAGTAGGGTGTTGTTGAGCGGAAATTATCAGAGTAGTGTAGTCATTATCACATCATGGAATGTTTTATGCTTTTTATTGTCATTTATGTAAGGATATGTGTAGCATCAATGCAGAGGAAGAGTGTGAGAGAGAGAGACATAATATTGCAGCATGTTGTAGACGCAAAATTCCATGTATTGAACGAATAAATAAATAGGTAAATAGGTAAATGTAGAAGATAGGAATGATTTGTATTCAAAAGATATTTCAATATATAACACAACCTTTATGACATGATGTATGATGATAAATATTACATATATGTAGGTATGCATGTATGAATAGATAGATAGATAGATAGAGAGGAGGAAGGTCTTATTCATCGACAATACCAACTTCCTCCAACTTGGCAAGAAACGCAGCAACACGATGATCAGCATCATTCTATTTAAAAAAAATAAAATAAAAACGGGAATGTGTTCATTATTATTATTATTATAATTACTACAGAATATGTACATTAGATCATAGGTGAAAGTTAAAAAGACAGTTGCGGAGAGTGAGAATTTTCTTTACCACGGAATAATCGACTAAGCTGTACTATTATTATTGTCATTACACTATTGTTCTTTTGGGCTCCGGAGTGGAACAAAAGGCTTCAACAACACATCTCCACTTTGTTCTATTCTCTGCTGCCTTCTTCATCAGCTGGGTTCACGACTGCCCATAATCTATCATCTAATCCTGTCCAAGAAACGATCTCCTCCATGTCACCATAGGACGATAAACTCGTCGTTTCCTACTAGGATTCCAATAGAGCGATCAACTTGTGCGCGATATCATTTGACGATCACCTCAGAATGTGTTCAATCCACTTGCATTTTCTTCTACATATTTGTTGAACAATAGGTTCTTGGTTGGTTTGTTCCAACAGGTTTTTGTTGTTAATTATTTCTAGCCACTTGACCTTCAATATGAAACCAGCCAGCGAAGTGGGTAGCTGTTGATAAAAGTGTGTCACAAGGCTGTTGGAAATGCTTTTCTTGACTTCGCATTTGTGTTGAAAATCCGAATCTTGATCCCTAGGATGAATGCAGAAGATTACCGAACCCATTTCATATTGGTGAACGTATACCTTGTCTTTCCGACTCTGACTGGATTTCACATCTTCACCCGTGCCGACCGTCTGTGGTTGAAAACATGCTTCTTAGCCAGATAAGTGAAGGAAGTAAACTCTTTCAAGTTTCTCTCATTGATGGTGATTGGTGCTAGTTTTCTCCACCTTCTGTATGTTCACCTGGAGTCCTGCCGTCGCAAGCTGCCTCTCCTCTTCAGTCATTTTGTTGGTTTCCGTCCGCCCGCACAGTTATGAGTTTGTGTGTTTCACATTAAAAATAAAACATCCATGCACGAAGTCCATATTTTCAAGAATCTTATTATCGGTCAGTACAGCGTATTCTTGTCTTCTCACTCCTTGGGCACAACCTGACGCGTAATTCAGTCCATCAGAATTAGGAATATCATCGTGGGTGATAACAGACACAGTCAGCCTTGTCTCACTCCTGTATTCATTTACTCCAAAAGCTTCGCTGAGTTACCCGTTGTAGAAAAACTGATTCATTGCATTGTCATATAGCCAGCTGTTGAATGAGGATGATAAACACTTGGGCGCTGAATGTAACAGTGTTCAAGTATTTCCCAGACTACTTCTCGGTCAACGCTGTCTGTCGAAGACCTTTCCGAAGTCGGTAAAGTTAAGGTATACGGTCGACTGCTATCCCAAGCTTTGTTCGATGATGATGGGTAGAGTTGCAATTCGATCTGCACCGAACAAACAACTTGACACACACACACTACACTAGTAACTAACTGGTGTCCATCAAAAACATTTCATACAGTCCTACATGAGGTCAATCACCAGCCCAAATAGCTGCTCAGTGGTAACGTCTCTTACTGCATCACTGCGTGACATGAGTTCGAATCTCAGAAGGCATATGAGTTCCGTCAAGGTTCCAGATACGCCCTGTTGACTGGTGAGCGTCAACTAACACGAAACCTAGGCCCAAGGCTTGGTGTTAGTTGTCTCCAACCATCTAATATCAAAAGTAGAAGTGATAAGTGAGCGTTACATACATTTAACCATCGTCATCTTTGTAGATTAGTCAATGTGTCATTGAGTAGTTGTACATAATGTAGAAAACGCAGCATCTCTAGTTGTAGCACCAGGTGATACGGGTTCGAACCATAGCAGGGACATGAGTTCTTTAAAGATAGCAGATAAGCCTGTTAAGTACCAACAAACACGAAACATAGGTCACTCAAGGCTTCCTACAGATTACCTCCGAGCATCTATTAACAACCATTCAGAGTAAACCATGATGTCGAGCCAACTAGCATGGTGGTAATCACAATGTAAACTTGATTGATAGAATTCATTCTGCACTAAACGAAGGATTAGATGAATGATACTGATTACTATCCAGTATCCAATGAAAGTATCAACTACAGTCCTACAGGAGGTCATTTGCTGGCTGTAACAACTCAGCGGTAGCGTCTCTGACAGTAACACTCTCGCTGGGTGACACGGCTTCGAATCTCAGTCAATTGGATAATTTTGTGAACACCTTTCAGAAATTTATTGTACAATGGCAATTTTTAGTCTCTACTAACATTAATGTCTAATTTCACGTGGTAAACTGCGACCCGACCAGAACATTTTAACAGTTTATACACTCTAAAACTATTGTTCAAAGTTATACAAAGACTTTTAAGAACTAAATATCCTCATATGATCACTGTAGTAGTCAAAATTGATGGTCAAGGTATTTAGGAGAGAGAGAGAGAGAAAGAAGTGATTTAAAATATATAACGTCATTTTACTTCAACCTCAGGTCAAGCATCGACATCATTTAGAGAACCGCTGATAACCAGGGAGTACTGGAAGGCTGTTTCGTCCTACTCCCTTCAGACTAATCGGCAGTACACACCCACTGTCAGAATTCCAACACAGGACCTTCGGGTTACAAGGAAAGCTCTTGGGCCATTTAGCCACTGGGATTCGACTCAATGGCCAACCTATGAATTCTAACTTCTACACCAATTCGCGATTTTAGCATCGTACTACCGATAGGCCCCAAGCACGATGACGAAACAACTATACAGTACTCCCTGTTGGTTTTCAATTTTTCTCTAACTGACATCGATCCGTGATAAAAACAAGAAACAAATCAAGTCCCTACAAACAGACACTCTTGGCTTTTATTGTTCACTAGCTTTGTAACCAATTTTTTTCCAATCGATTTATTTTTTTCTGTATTTTATACTGGCATAAAGTTAGGCAAGTTGAAATGATGAAACGCTACAGTGATCGATATTCTCTACTACACTTTCGATTAATATTGACTGATTATCAATTTTCATCCATCTGATAGGAATTGGATAAAATTGAATTTATGAAAATATTTTATTTTATTTTATTTTATTAATCGCTTGGGATAGAACATTTTGTATTTCGAAGTTTGATATGCATCGCTATGGGAACAAGGTAATTTCATTGAACAATTCCGCTGTCCTACCTTTTAAAGGAATCAGATTAAATGATTTTATCCATCATGATTAAGGATAATTTTGCGTGACGAACAATGTTTTCTATGGAATTATTACAGTCACGGGCAAGCAAGTCTTTGTCTTTAGATATTTCCACGGCAAAATAAAGTGGAAAATATAAAGAAACAACAACTGTGAGCCTGTACTCACTTCACAGTGTTTATACCCTGAGTTCCGAGTGGTACACACACAGGGCTTCATTCAGCAACACATCTTCATTCCACATGGTTCTCTACAATCATTTTCATCAACTAGCTTCACAACTGCGCCCACAAACTCGTATTACCTCATCGCATGGTCTTCTTCATGTTACATTTGGACTCCTAACCTGCCGCCCTGTACTGAATTCCCCCCTTAACAACATGGCATGCAGACGCTAATCGACAGTCTGCACCAAACAAAGGAAAAGACATATTACACTAGTTTCGAACAAGTCTCCAACCGAAAGTATCCAATACAGTCCTACAGGATGTCAATCGAGAGCCTAAATAGCTGTTCAGTCGTAACGTCTCTCACTGCAGCACTGGGTGAGGCGGGTTCGAATCTCAGAAAAGATATGAGTTTCTTCAAGGCAGTTGCAGATACGCTTTGCTGACTGACTGGTGAATGCCAACTAGCACGAAACCCAAGTCCAAGGTTTCTTGCTAACTGCCTCCAACCATTCAGAGTACACCGCGATGGAGAGCCATCCAGCCTGATAGTGGCCACATTGCAAATCTGATTGATAGAATCCAGTCTGCACCAAAGATAGGACTAGGCGCGCACACACCCCACTAATTACTGACTAGTACCCAATCAAACAATCTATCTCCATTTCTCTATTTCTGTATATCTGTTGACCGATCTGGTTAACTGTCTGTTACAGATTGTTGTCCCTGATTCTTTCTGCCCAGTCATTTAGATCTTCAGCATTGACAGAAGTCAGCTGTTGATAAAAGTCTAAAGTGTATCCGATTGGAAATGCTGTTTACAGTGAAACACAAGACAATTTTCTGAATTACGCCTCATTGTTGTTGTTGTTGTTACTGTTCAAAATCTGTGTCTACTTCGGTGTGATGGACTCTGTACATCTGTACACCCGTCCTCCTTTATGGCTGTGAGACCTGGCCATTGAGAGTGGAAGACATGAAAAGATTAGCTATCTGTCTTTGATGATAGATGTCTGCGTCCTATCTCCCGTGTGAAGTGATGGTATAATAAGGTGAGCAATATTGAGTTGGTTAGGCATCGGTCGAGCGCTAGGTAAGGAGGGGAAATCAATCGACGAGGCTGTGAAATTACACCGACTGAGATGGTTAGGACATGTGTTACGTATGCCAAATCATTGCCTTCCTCGTCCGACGGGCAATGTTAGCTGACATAGGGTCAGGCAGGAAAAGAGCTAGTGGCGCCAGTCAATGAAATTCACAACAGTTAGTTTTAGCCAGACACATAGGAAGGTGTAGACTCCGTGTCTGGTTGGGGTCCTCGGAACGGTAAAAACCAATGGTTGGAAACAATTGGTGATATGGCTCAAAATCGTTCTCAATGGCTGGTGCAGATGCATCCACTCCTTGTGACTTATAATTTCCAATGAAACTATATTGTTCTTCGTTATTACTATTCCTTTGTTTCACACCTCTGTTTACTGTCTGTATTATGCATTTCTTCTACTTTCTTCTGTTGCTTTGTGTGCTACATAGAGCGTGGCGACTCGAACTGTCGCACATTGGTGCAAAGTTCTATGTCGAAAACAGACAGACAGATCTTTAAGCTGATTTCAAAGAAATGAACAGCTGTGTTATTCAGTTACACTCTGATTTTGACATCCACATCCGTGCCAACTGTCTTCAGTTGAGACAATACTCCCTCTAAGGGTAAGTGAGAGAGACGGCTGCAGTGTCTTTGATACTTATATGCTATATTCCACTCAGTATGGGAATTTATTCCATATCAATTAATCAAATGATTTTTGACCACCCTAAAAAGATGATTTTATAGAAGACTGACTTCGAATTCTTTTAAATAAGAGTATTTTCAATATAGTCAGACTTGCGTCCAACAATCGTTATATTTCTTTACCTGAAAGCGGCATTCAATTCCGTAGACCGAGAGGTACTATAGTGGTGTTTGGCTGTGAAGGGAATGCCGAGAACATACATAGCATTGATCAAGGTACTCTACTTGAACTCATGCATCCAGCCAGGCAAGAGCTTACCACGAGTTGTCACTTGAACTGGTAACAGGGATGCCCAGTATCCTGAATTCTATTCAATTTTATCATAGATTTACTAGTGGACTTAATCCTAAGTGCCTTCAACGACTCAGGGATTGACTTGTTACCAGGGAATAATCTCGTTGAATATGCATATGACATAGGCCTCCTCGGTTAAAACGCTGACAAAATGCAGAGTCATTTGAGCACGTTGAGTTGTCATCTGTGCATGTTTGGCATGACACTTGCTTCTGCCAGATGTAAGATGATACTACAGGACTGGACTATATTGACTCCTAGCTTAGAAATAGGGTGTGAATTGGTAGAGTGCGTTGACCACTTCGCTTATTTGGGAAGTTGTATCAGCCAGTGCCAACGGGTTGATCACTGACGAAATCTCAGCACGGATACAAAATCCTCGTTGGGCAAATGACATTTTACGCCATCTCTGGAGTAGACGTGATTATCCAGCTGGCTGGCCGTCGATCAAAGGGCGTGTGTACTGCTCAGCGGCAGCTCTCTCCGTCCTCCTTTATGGCTGTGAGCGAGACATGGCCACTGAAAGTGGAAGACATGAAACACCTGGCTAGCTAGCTGTCTTTGATCACAGATGTCTGCGTTCTATCTCCTATGTGTATTAGGTGGTATAATAAGGTGAGCAATATTGAGTCGGTTAGGCATCGATCGAGTGCTAAGTAGGTGGGAAGGAGAAATCAATCGACAAGTTGGTTGTGAAGCGACTGCACCGATTGAGAGAGATGGTTAGGATACGTGTAACGCACGCATGTCTAGTCATCGATCGCCTTCCTCGACCGACCGACGGGAAATGTTAGCTGACTGATATAGGATGTATGAGGTTCGAAAAGATTTAGCTAGTGGTGGTCAAACGAAAAGATGGCTTCATCAGTCAATGAAGTCCACAACAGTTAGTTTAAGCCAGCCAGCCAGCCACGTAGGGAGGTGTAGACTTCCTTGGTTGGGGTCGTTGGGATGGTAACAACCAATGATGCTCGAAGACAATTGGTGATTTGACCCAAAATCGTTTTCAATGGCTGGCGCAGATGCATTCACTCTTTGTGATTTATTATATCCAATAAAGCTATATTGTTCTTCCATATTACTATTCCTCTCGCTTCATATTTCAGGTTTTAGGCTTTGAAGTTTCAGTAACCACGGGGTTTTTGTTTTACGCAGTAAGACTGCTAGACTAGGATTTCTAAAAGGCTTTAAAAACTTTCAACAAGACAGGTGACTTTGCTGGCTCAATACTGGGGATCGAATGGCCAGAAAAAATCAGCAACAAGGAACTCTGACGACGAACCATCAGAAAACCGATCTTTCAACCAATATACAGAAAAAAGATGGATGGTGAAAAGACCGTCAGACGCCAAACCAATCCTCAAGTGGAACCCGAGTCGGAAACAACAAGTTAGGCATCGCTTTGAGGGTGACAGGGAGGAGATTATGTGAGGAAGAGATGAAAGCTTATCGGCAATCATGAGGTCGGCTGAAGAGGAAATTCAGAGATCAGGACGAAGTGGAGGTGTGTTGTTGAAGCCTCATATTCCACTCAGAACCCAAGGGAATAATAATAATAAAAATAATAAGGTTGCTAGGCCTCACACCCAACCTATCCCTCTTCTCCAGGGCTAATAACGACTAGGCGGAGTTTGGGAACGCGTCCGCCGGGGGAACGAACTCGGAGCACACGGACCTACTAGACAATAATGTAATATCGTATGCCGACATATCAGTTTTGTAAGTCACAAACTGGCAATCAAATACACTTAGATAACCAAGGTAAACATGCATTCCCTCCAAATACACACACACACATACGATTACAAAAAGGGGACAATTTTCACAGACGGTTATACAAACATTAGAAAGCTACCATCATTAATCTTTAAAATTTTGAAATATAACATACCTTTGAAACTAAGTCAATCAAATCAAGTAGATGTTTAATCCCAATGCACAAGCTAAAAAAAGACACAAACATTAATGAATTAAAGGGATAATAACACCAATGATAACATTTTTTTAAAGTGAAAGTTGCATTACGTATTAAAATACACTAACTGCGCATAAGGAAACAAAGTGGAGAAAACTACGCCGTGGTTGATCAGTCAACAATTTTTGAAATAAATCAAGTCTTCGCAAATCTAATAATCTAATTACAGTTGTGTTGTAATTATGTGAACAAGGTAAGGAGAAAGAAATATTGAGTTTGCTTTTCGGAAGGGAGGTGGTACAACTAAATAGACACATGAAACATGTTTGAGGAATCCTTAGCTACGAAGTGGAGATATGAAGTACTGACTTAAAAACACTCGAATTCTAGGCAGTGCGTCCCAAGTTCGGGTTCCTTTCACTTGAATTAAACCTGGCCAATTTGTGTAAATATCATCGAACCTCAAATATTGAGTGCGGCGCATACCCCCTGCTCCAGTAGAAGGCAACTGAGATCTCACTAACTAAAAAGTTAACGATATTCGTCTCAAAATATTATACCAGTAGCATCTTTAGTTTTTTTGGTAGGAGGGGGTTGTTAAAATCTAGAGGATCCCTTCAGATTAATCGACTGAATTCTTGACTTAGAACCTATTTCACAATAGTGCAGCAGTTCAAATTGCTGCGCTCCATATAGCACACCAAAGTAACGAAAGAGAAAAAGAAGAATTTAAAGGAAATAATGATAAGCACAAATCTACATGAGAAAGAATAAGTACATCGGGAATAATAAGAATTTCATAGATTTAAGAGTTTGTTGAGAACAATTTTGAACTATAGCACCAAAAGTCTCCAGCTATTCGTTTCTTACCGTCTGTCTTGAAAACCACAGCCAGATAGTTAGGACGCCCCCCCATTCCCTTACATGTCTCAAACCAACAGTTGAAGACTTCATAGATTGATTGATTCCAAGAAGTAATGAACACAAGAAAACTAGTTTTGAATGGCTCTCTGCACAATGACCATTAAAGGCAGTATTAAGGGAAGGCCTATTTAAGTGACTATCTCGGAAAAGACGGAAGCTAGTAGCTGGGACTGATTTTCATAGGACGTGAGCGGTTGTGATACAGATCCCTCTCCTGGAGAAAGACTTTCTAACTCGATGGCCCTAGTGAACGATAACATGCAGACTGCCCAAATCGCACTTAATCAGTTGGCGACCAGTGTCTCTAAGTATGGTATATGCTTTGCATTGCCTACGTGCACATTATACTCTGGCAAGACCCACAGGAGGCTGTCTGTACCCACTCTTGCAGATGAATAGCTTGAAGCTAATTAGGGCTACCTCTGGAGTTGTCGTGATGTAAGCCTGGTTGTCAAAGGTCGGATTTACGATACTTCGTTGCGCGCATTCTTGCTCTACACCTGTGAAACCTAGCCTCGCCGAGATGAAGATGTGCAGCGACTCTGCGTATTCTACCATCGCTGCCTCCGTATACTTGCTTGCATCCAACAACATCCTCGAGAACGCAATCCTGAGGTCTGGCAGATTTTTTGGAGACAGGTCGCCAGTCATTGTGTAGTCATCTGGGAACACTGTGTTCGGTGGCTTGGATATGTGCTGCGAATGTAATCCCAGGTTTATGTTCGCTGGCCGTGGAACTGGATGAGAAAAGTGGAGAAGTGGTCAGCCCATGACGTAGCACCGTGGGATGAAAAATATTTATGTTAGGCTATTTAGCATCAGTTGGTACATCATCACTCTCTGCTTGAAGTCCGAAAGACAGTTCGATTTTGTAGATCAGAAGATTACCCGATATGGTGTCAAGAATCGCAATCAATGGTGAACATGCTACAATTTCCCCGTGTCTGAAAGTACTAAGAAGTGATGAATATTGAATAATCTTGACAAGTATAGGCCTGTTTTCCTTATAAATATTGTTGTTTGGCAGTACATCTCTTGGTGCCCATAATGTACTAATCCTGTGTGTTTTAAATAAATACCACCTGCAAACATTATTATAAGATAAGATAAAGTAGGCATAAAAAACAAAAGGCTAAAAGCGTAAAACTGGAAAACGTACTGGCGACCAGCAAGAGATTTTTCAATAATTTGTTGTTCTTTAACCGTGAAGCGGGCATCTTCTTCTAAAGCAGCAGCAATATGCTTTGCTCGTGACAGCATACCAATATGAACATGCCATGAAAAGGCTTGTGTAAGATTTTGATCTGTCAACGCTTCACGACAACTTGTTGTAGCCAGTACAAGCATACGTCGACCCTTTTTGTGAGAGACGATATAAAAAATAAACAAATAAAGAATATTAAAAAGATGCAACCAATCAATCATGGTACTTTACCTAGCTGCTGCTAGTAAGCATCGAGAGAAAAAAAAATGGTTGAACGTGAAGTCAACAACCGACCCTCGCTCCTCCCCGTAAATACAACACTGACACATTACTGTGAAACTTTAAAACTTGAAGCCATATATGTTCGACTAGTGACGTGTAGCACAAATTACCTTAAATAAATAACTGATAATAACTGTTGTTGACAGCACTGTGATGATAGGGAGTAAATCGAATGCCTCTCATCTCGGCATCAGTTTCTCTTCGAATCTCTCACATCCTATTGATTTCTAAGAAGAAAAGACTGAGACTTTCTGGCATAACTCAACCGCTTCTCTTACAATTCGTTAATTTATGTATTCTGTCCATTCTTGTTTATTGTTCACCCTCATTATTGTTCCCTGAACTTCTCAAAAGAGACTTTTTGATATTACGTAGAACACTGAAAATTGTAAGCAGGCAGGGTTACTGCCTGCCTTTGACTCAGCTAACTGACATTATTGTTAATAGGCACTTACTTCACTTCTTGCAAGTATCTGGCTAAAGTCATCTTCTCTGCTATTGAACATCCTCTCTACTTATTCTCAACTTTTTCCTGGTTTCTCCTCGGTGGGGTGGGGTGCAGTGAAACCAGAAGAAACTTCATAAGAAGCATTTATGCTCGTACAGCTACTAAATATAAAATTCTACTATATCGCCATATTTACCACGAGTGCTGGTTGTGTGAAGAGAGGGACAGTCAGATGTCAGAAAGAACTTATAAATAAGCTTTTAAAATAAGTAAGTGAACTGCAAAGTATAAGCAAACGTTATTATTATTACTTTTTACTTTACTTTTGCTTTACTTTTGATTACAGCTTGATTCCACACTGTATTTTTGGTACAAGTATGGAATTTTCAGCGTGGATATCGGTAGCCCGAATTTCGCAGGCCGACCATAGTTATCAGGTGTGCGTCGGCGTGGGCTCGAACCCCGGACCATGTACATGGTCGGCGGGAGTCCTAACCACTGTGCCACCGACGCACTATTACTACATGTATTATCTATGATACTATCTATCTACTTATACTTCATGATGTTTCCACCAACATTCTGTTTATAGTGGTTTGCATTATTAATATCATAATAATCAATTATTTTAATTTTTATGTATGTAAAAAACTTATAAAAGGAGCTAAATTGAGGCAATAGTTATAAAGTGCAGAAAATTCCATTCTGTATAATTATTATTGTTTGAAATAATGTGATCTGTATTATTATTTATGAGTTGATCACGGATTGTTATCAGTTAGAGAACCAGCGAAAACCAGTACTGGAGTATTGGACAGCTGTTCCATCCTAGTCTCATCCGAATCATCGACAGTACGCAGCCACTGCCAGGGTTTAAACCCAAGACTGTTCGGTTACAAGACAAGCTCGTATATCATTCAGCCACTGGGACCCGATTCAATGGATCATGAATTCTAAATCGAGATTTAGCGCGACTCCAACCAATGTCGTCAGTGGGAAATCCATCCTCAAACGTGGCATCTGGATGGACCACACTGGTCACGACTTCTCACTAGAACTCCAGGAAACTCCATCCTGTAGCAAGTCACTAGCGAGCATCAGATTAATTCCCTATAGTTTGGTGAGGATGGATGTCCCACCTACAACAATGGTTGGGGTCGCGCTAAATAACAAATTAGAATTCATGAGCCATTGAATCGGGTACCAGTGGCTCAAAATGGTATACAAGCTTGCCTTGTAATCGAAAAGTCTTGGGTTCGAATCCCGGCAGTAGGTGCGTACTGCCGATGATTCGCATGAGACTTGGATGAAACAGCTGTCCAGTACTCCAGTGCTGGTTTTCAATGGTTCTCTAACTGATATCAATCCGTGATCAACTCGTAAAAACAAAACTAACCCTTACAAACCAAACTACAGAAAATCATTATTGTTATTATTATTTTAAAATACATCCTACATGAATACTGATGCTCCCGCGCTCGTGTTTTGATGACTTAGATCTCGTTAAAAGCCAACACAGTTAAAACGATCAAAGAACTATTAGAAAACTCATCACACATAAGTAACAAGGTTTTCTGCTAACCACATTATAACTGAGCATACAGAGTATGTGATAATCAAAACCCAAGTTATTTTAATCTGAACTCAAAGAACTACTAATCGACGAGTTGTTCTGCATAGGTGGGGATTGCCGAAACCCTGAGAGTCATGACACACAGTAGAAATTTGTATCAGAACAACATCATAACACTGTTTTTAATGTGATGATGGGATCTGTTGTAGTATCCAACAACTTATGTTAATTATATAGAACTCCCTCAACAATACAGTTATATACAATCCAAAAGTTTTTCAGGTACGAAATACGCGCTATACAACAAAATTAACTAGGTAAACAAAACACGTAGTTCAGTGTAGAGATTCGAGGCGAATTCATTTTCCTCTTTTCAAAAGTTGATTTGTAAGGATTAGATTTGTTTTTCTTGAGTTTGACCATGGATTGATATCAATTAGAGAACCATAAAAAACCAACAGAGAGTATTGGAAAGCTGTTTCATCGTAGTTTGGGAATCATCGTTAGTACGAACCCATCACGAGGGTTCGAATCCAGGACCTTCTGATTACAAGGCAAGCTCGTATACCATCCAGCTACTGGGACCCAATTAAATAGCCAACCCATGAATTCTAACTTCTACCGATTCGTGATTCTAGCTCGACCACCAACCTCTTTAGCTGCAGTCTCATTCATATGTATACACCTTTTTTTCTCACGAACAAGGCTAGTCGCCAAAAGTGATGAGTTGTTATAATCATAGGAGTTGTTAATACTAGTCAGCGATTATAAAAATAAAATGAATTCACGCAAAACAGAACCCTTTGCTAAAATACGCGTTTTGTTTTCGTTAATATTCGGATCGAGATTATATTCATGAAATACCTGAGAATCCAGTAAAGTACACTCAACAAGTTGGAATCATAATAACAGCGGTCTGTTTAAAAATTTGGACTAACAAAAAGCCTCCATCAATTACGCTGTACTAAATAAAGAAAGAACGATCATATTTGCGGGTAGGATAAGATGACATAGAGAAGACGGAGGTTATGAAAATAACAAACCGACCAACAACAACAACAACAGCAGCAACAGCAACATCCAGCGTCAATCACCACCAACGGGAGGGATTTGAAAGAGGTTAGTTACTTCATTCACTTATCTAGGGAGCATTGTCTCAACTACAGACAGTCGGAACGGACGAGGATGTCAAATCGAGAATCAGGAAGGCGAGAAACACAAACATTCATCAACCTGAAAACAATCTGGAAATCTTCGTCACTCAGCCAGCATCAACAACAAAATTCGATCGGATTTTCAATACACAAAACGTCAAGTAAGTCACTTCTTCTATATGGATCAGAAACTTGGCAGGGGGTCACAAAGAATATTTCCAACAGCCTGTTGCAGACCTTTGTCAACCATCAACTGTCTTCGCTGGCTCTATACTGAAGATCAAATGGCCTGGCCGGAAAGAATTACCAACAAGAAACTATGGCTGGGAACAAACAAAATAAGAACCAATCGCCAACCAACAAATATGCAGGAGAAAGTGGAGATGGATCGGACACTCTCTGAGGAGACCACTGGGTGACATCGCGCGTGTCAGGCTATTGCTCGAGTGGAACCCGAAAGGGAAGCACGCGGCGAATGGGTCGCCAGTGCAAGGGTGACATGGAGATGGTGTGAAAAGGATTTGAAACAGTATGGAGTAACATGGATGCAGGTGAAAAGTACAGCAGAAGCAAGACAGAAGCAAGTGGAGACGTGCAGTTGAAGCCGTATGTACCACTAGAAACCCAAGGGAACAACAATAATAATAATATGATCTCGTTTTATTTTGTGGATTTTCTCTCTTCAAATGCATATACCCTAAATAAATCAATTCATAAGTTACAACAATTTCAAAGATTATGTAAGTAAACAATTATTCACTGTTAAAAGAGAGTAACTATTTATATATTTATTAGACAAGGGTATGGAATTCAGACTTCGCTTGGATATAAGAATAGACTTGAGACAAACTACAAGACAGAACAACAGTTAATTTATACGTATTATGGTGGAGAGTTCAGGAGGTGGGGGCGGGATGAATAGTAAAGTAACATTATAAGATAGACAAACTAATTTAATTCAGTGAATTTGAAAACTCAGTAAGAGGAAATCAAAATCAAGATTGAGTGGAATGTTACGCTGCAGAACAAAGCACAAAATCATATGAACAAAACAATTATGGTTACCAGGCAGGGTGGTGAGAGATTAGTCACACTCTCTTTCTGTATGCGTAGGTTTGGTCGAAGTCTTTTAATGGCAATGACTTCTGCGAACTTGACCTCAGTTAAACAAAATTGTAGTCGTAAGACAACAACATTACCAAGCTATCACGTCATAGTAAAGTGAAGGATTAAATAGAGGGATCAGCCGAAAACAAGAATTAAGTCAAGAAAAGATAGACAAATGTTGAACGATGACGAACACAGTCAGGGGAAAAAGGATAATAATTACAAAATTCAAGTATTGGTTTGTAGGGATTTGGTTGATTGATTACAGGATTTCATCATGAGCTGACATTAGTTACAGAACCATCGGAAAACCTGGGAGAATTGGACAGCTATTTCGTCCTAGATGGGACTCTTCACAGTGCGCACCCACCACAAAGGTTCGAACCCAGGACCTTCTGGTGACAAGGCGAGCTCGTATACCATTAAGCCACTGGAATCCGATCCAATGGCCCATGAATTCTAACTTATGCCAATTCACGATATAGCGCGACCCCTAGCCAGTGTCTTCGGCGAGCATTTGTCCTCACACCCCACCGGCTGCACCCTACTGGTCACGACTTCTCACTGGAACCCCAGGTAACTACCTACCTGAACAGGGCCAGTCGCCAGTGAGCATTTCATTGATGTTTAAGTATTGGTTTGTAGGGATTCGGTCTACGAGCTCGCCTTGTAACCAGAAGGTCCTGGATTCGAACCTTGGTGGTGGGTGCGCACTGTGAAGAGTCCCATCTAGGACGAAATAGTTGTCCAATTCTCCCAGGTTTTCCGATGGTTCTCTAACTGATGTCAGCTCATGATGAAATCCTGTAACCAATTACAAAATTATTAGTATCAATATTGAAAATAGGATTGTTCAAGGATGGATTTTCAGATATTCAATAATTCTCCCACAGGCTACTTGGAATAAATTCACACAATAATATTAAGAAGAAGATTCGTTAACTTACCGCTTTTAATGGCTGGGATACCAAGTCACGAATTGCTTGAACCATAAAATTAGAAAATCTTGGGCCAACTGGATTGTACTCAATTAGACCTTCAATATTATCAACAATGATTACACTCAACGGGGATTTTGCACCATCATCAAAAATCTGTATACAACGAATTGAAGGACAATAAAAACAGAAAAAAGAATGAGAGAGGCATACGAAAAGCTTTTGATAAAACGTTCACATGATAATTATTATTATTTCTTTTAATTCCTAGAGGAACGTAGGGCTTCAGCCGCGTATCCCCATTGCGTTCGGTTTTCTGACAACGTTTTCACCTCATTCCAAGTCTGTCCACACGCTTTCATCTCCTCCAAGTCACCCTTGCACTGACGACCAACTCGCCGCTTCCCTTTTGGGTTCCACTCGAGCAATGGCTTGTCTGTCTGTCTGTCTGTTTTCGACATAGAACTTTGCACAAATGTGCGGAAGTTCAAGTCGCCACATTCCGTGTAGCACGCGAAGCAAGAGAAGAAAGTACAAGAAAAGCATAATAGAAACAGTGAGCAGAGGTGTGAGACAAAGGAGTAATAAGGAAATACAAAACAGTTTCATTGAAGATCATAAGTCACAGGGAGTGGATGCATCTGCGCCACTGAGAACGATTTTGAGCCATGTCACCAATTGTTTCCAACCATAGATTTTTACCGTCCCGAGGACCCCAGCCTGGAAGTCTACACCTTCCTACGTGGCTTAGACCAACTGTTGTGGATTTCATTGACTGATGCCAAGTTTTTGTTTGACCGCCGCTAGCTTTTTTCCAGCCTGACCCTATATCCGCTAACATAGCTCGTCGAGGGAGGCGATGACTTGGCATACGTAACACATGTCCTAACCATCTCAGTCGATGTAGCTTCACGACTTCGTCGATAGATTCCCCCTGTTTACCAAGAACTCTATTCCTAACCTCAATGTTGCTCACCTTATTATGCCACTTTACACGGGAAATAGAGCGCAGGCACCTATGATCAAAGACAGCTAGTCTTTTCATGTCTTCCACTCTCAGTGGCCAGGTCTCACAACCATAAAGGAGGACGGAGCGGACTGATGAGCAGTACACCCGCCCTTTGGTCGATAGTCGAACATCTCGTCTACGCCAGAGTCGGCGTAAACTAACAAATGCGAAACGAGCCCCTTGTATTCGTGCTGAGATTTCGTCAGAGATCAACCCGTTGGCACTGGCTGATGGTACTTCCCAAATAAGTGAAGCGGTCAACGTGCTCTACCACTTCACTTCCTATTTTTAAACTAGGCGTCGATGTAGTCCAGTCCTGTAACATCATCTTGCATTTGGCGGCAGCGAATCGCATGCCAAACATTCGTAGATTGCTGTTCAAGGTGTTTAGAAGACTCTGCATTTTGTCAGCGTCTTCTAGTCTAGTGGTTGGCTTGTCTAGTGATGTCACTTGATGGTTTCCTCAGAGTATGGCCAATGCATCTCCATTTTTTCTGGCTATTTGTTTCACATGATAAAACTAATATATATACTTAACGCGTCAAGCAGACCATCGAATTACACCTAGAGAGGAAGAGACGAGTTGAGCGTGGGTGCGAGGGTGATATGGAGGAGATCGTATGAGAAGGATATAAGCCCTTATGGACAATCCTGGAGGAAGCTGGGGAAAAAACTGCAGAGAACAGGGGCAAATGAAGATGTACTGCTGGAGCCCTGTATTCTAGTAGGAACCCGAGGGGAATAATACGTATAAATACTGTCAACTGCTCAACCTAAAATTGTCATCATGCAATTCAAACAAGACAGATTACTTTCTATGAAAATACAAACTTTTCTTTTCAAAAAAGCTCTCTTACAGACGAGTGTGCTGTGAGCTTGCTCAAAACCGTCCACACGGCGGCTTCATATTGCATGTACTACCTCGAGGATCGGCCCATTAATCAAACAAAAAAGCAGCAGTGCTACTATTAACCACTAGTCGTCACTCACTCCTAACTTATCCATCACACACACACACACACACACCATATTCAACCCGCCGCATCATTTCATAAGCCTTACTCACTTCACCTGACTGACTGCCTACCTATCCGCTAACCTTACACCCATACAAATCCAGCAATCAACGACTTTATGGATCAGCGGCATGTTTCCATCTAACTAATAGATATAGTTTTCCTTTTTCCTTCATACCCTAGCCAAACATATTACTCACTGTGTTGCACTACCGCCTAACACAAGAGAAACAGAACGCAAGCACCTCAAAATGCTCGAAAATCGTTTATCTTTGAGTACCTTCCATTTTGAACAGGAAATATATTAAATATATGAAAAAGATATGACTTGATCAAACTAATTTTTGAGACAAAAAAATAACGAAAGCATAGAAGTTACCATTTATTACTTACCTTTTTCATTGCAGCACACTTAGCCATTTCAGTAAATCCGATCATTTTATGCGATGTAACAATTTTAATAAATGGAAATCCAGACAGTCTGGCAATTTCAACAGCCAGCGCAGTTTTACCAGCTTTCGGTGGACCTTCAAGGAGTAGAGTCAACGGTCGATACGTCTCAACATCAGGTTCTTTTACAGCTGATACTGCCAGCCGACCCATATCTAATGCCTGCGAGACAGATTCACCCCACATCATAATACCACGAGGTGAATAACAACTGAGTTCTTCTTCAGATACACCAAATGCCTAAAATTTAAAAAAATATGTATATGATTATTTGAAAAGTTTGTCAACTATGTACAATGGAATCTTAGTTTTTTTGTTTTACATTGATATATAATAACAATAAATGTTTCATACATTTGGTTCCCTTGATAAATTTTGATAGAGAAAGAAATTTGAGATTTGCAGTATAAAATGATATCATTCTATTTCACAGGTTCTCATCAGTTGCAAACTACCTGAAATTACAATGGTTATAAATAATAACATTTCATACTTCATTGTTTGAAAGGCAATAGAGAAAACATTATAAGGCGACCGCATCATCCATTTATATACTATCAAACTATGAAATAAAGAAAGAAAAAAGGGGGGTGAGAGGAGGCAGGAAACAGAAAAAAAAATCTAATAAACAGCGTCAACATGGCGACTCAAGAAGGTCAAAGTTCATCAATTTGAAAACTTGCTTAGTGAGTTGAGCTCACTAGTGTGTATGACTAATCAGTGTAATGAAAGTGATATGGTTGCCAAGGAAGTGAGAGACTGACCACACTCTCTTTCTATATGCATAAGTTTGGTCTGTGACATTTGATTGCAAATGCTTCAGCAAATCGTCGTAGATTCGTTGTCCTTTGTATGTTTAGTATTTTGAAGGAATTGGAAATCTCGACAAAATGACCCGTATCCACAAGGTGTCTGGTTTTCCGTCTGACTTATTACATAAAGAAGTTGAGACACTCAGGTATAACTCAATCTCTTATCATACAATTTATTAATTCATGTGTTTTGCCCATCATTCTTTATTGTTCTCCATTATTCTTCCCTGGGCTACTCAAGAAAGATCATATAATACTACGAAGAACATTGAGGGCTGTAAGTAGGGTCAGTGCTATCCCTTTGACTGAACTAAATGACACTGTTGTCAATAGGCATATGAATTCTTGTAAACACTTAGCTAAAGTTATCTTATCTGATAGTGAACATCCTCTTTATTCACAATTGTTTCCTTGTATCTCTTCGGGTAAGACCAGAAGAAATTTTATAAACATTTATGCTCGTACTACAAAATATAAAAATTCGACCGTTCCATATTTGGCACGAGTATTGTGTGAAGAGACAAATATCAGAAAAGAACTTTTACAACTTTTGAATCAGTAACTAAACTATAAAATGAAATGATGCATATTAATGCAAGTGTTATTTGTTGTATTATTTATTTATTATTCACTATGACCTAGAAATGGTATGATTTTGTTGGGTTTTTTATTTTAATTTATTTTTTTTTATTATTTTTTCCTATTAACTATAAATATTTTAACATTTTATATATTTATATAATTATAAACAGAGCTAAACCATCGCAATATGTAAAAGAAACGCTGAAAATTCCATGCTGTAAATTTTTATTGTTGTGGAATAAAGTGATTATTATTATTATTATTATTATTATTATTATTATTATTATTATTATGGTAATTCAACTTTGTAAATATCTGCTTCCTTTTAAGCATAGGTTTCTCGGAATATGCTCTGAAAACCGTGTTGACACTATTTATCAGATTTTTTTCTGTTTCCTGCCTCCTCTCACCCCCCTTTTTTCTTTCTTTATTTCATAGTTTGATAGTATATAAATGGATGATGCGGTCGCCTTATAATGTTTTCTCTATTGCCTTTCAAACAATGAAGTATGAAATGTTATTATTTATAGCCATTGTAATTTCAGATCGTTTGCAGCTGACAAGAACCTGTGAAATAGAATGATAGCATCATTTTATAGTGCAAATCTGGTCTTTCTTTCTCTATCGAAACAATAAATGTGTCGGTGGCACAGCGGTAAAATGCTTGCCAACCACGCCTCATGTGATCCGAGGTTCGATACCCGGCCAACGCACTCTTTTACCTCACTAAGCCTGTAATAAGACTGGTAAGGAGGAAAAGTTGCGCTAGAGGCTAGCAACCCTATCCCATGAAAAGAAATACCATTGCCACCGAAACTTCAAGCTTCTAGCTTGAATAAATAAAAATAAAAAAAATAAAAAAATAAAAAATAGGAAAAACAAAGAAGATTTGCTTCTCGGAAAATCATTTACAGATTTGATCAGAGATCAATATCAGTTAGAGAACAGGGAGTAGCACTGGGCAGTTGTTTTGTTGTACTTTGGGACTCTTCAGTGGTACAATCAATTCATGATGCCACAGAACCCAGGACCTCCAATTTACGAGGCCAAGCTTGTGGACCATCCAGCCACTTGGGCAGGAATTCAATGACCTGTGGATTCGAACTTCTATCAATTCGCCAGCCAATGTCATCGGTGAGTGTTTGTCTTCACACTCGACTTCAAAAAAATCAAGTCTCTATACACTAACACCTGAGAATCGTTTTCAAAACCTCTATAATCGTATTTATATTCAAAAAGGCATTCGATATTAGAGAATTCTGTGTAGTATTGGGAAGCGATCATGCAGAGATGCCTGATGTCTACAGTTGATAAGGAGCCCAAGGACAGAGATACTGGTGTTCTTCCTGTTCAGTCTATTGGCTAACCAGGCTGGACACTGTTCCGAAGTACACTTGACGGTGTGTACGGCCAATACATAATGATCATTAAAACAAACTCAGTAATTCATGGACACCAAATTTATAAGATTGCTCTTAAAGGCGCTTTAGAATGTACTTAGATGTACTTACTTACTTTACTTCGGCTATCTCCTACGGGAGGATGAACCGGCTTCATGAACATCTCGAATGTTTGTAAGAAAGTTGATGAAGTTTCATGGGAATTGGGTACGAGTGATGTCCCCAGCATCGCTCGGCCTTTTGTTTGAGAGTACAGCTCTAGCCTTTACACAACCAAGTGTGACCTACAAGGCAGTAGGAGTGGAGTAGGGAGTCCACTATCCATTGGCAGCCGGTGATCGGAGTCCGGTTCATACGCCTTTTTGAATGGGGCCAGACATCCAGGGCATCCAATAAGCCCTTTGTCCATACGTGTTCCGGTGAACTCCGGTGAGCTTCATACGCCAGTCGTTGGAGGTTTGGAATCAGGGTTTAGCCATCTCCCCTAGACTGTCATCCAATGGACAGTCAACCCGGTGAAGAGCGCCGGGCATCCGCTTTTGCCCTCTCACTTCCGTAAAATAAACACCGCCACGTGAAGGCAGTGAGTAGGACTTCCTCAGGAGAGGCTATGTAAGACGCACGATCATATGGGAGCATTTCAAGAGATGTACGGAGGGGTGGCTAACCCGCAGCGCAAGACACCCACCCCCGACCATCCTGAGGCTTTGGAGGCTACACTTAGATGTACGATGAATCTAAATTATAGCCGTCAAAATATTTGAGTACGAACCGTTTTTTTATCTTTAGAAGTGACTTTTATGCCAATACGTGCTTTAAGTTGACCTAGGATTGTGACTCATGATGAGGTTAGACAATTTATTTATTTAAGTTCCGTCAGCTCCTCACGTAAGTTTTTCTTTTACGTAACTCCACCAAAAACTTACTAACTGTATTTTCATTTGACAAAGTTAATGTACACACACATACATACATACAAAACAACCATGCATATATCTGCGAAAATGAATTCGCCGCTAGAAAGAGACTCTTCTCTCTGAACTACTGATCTCTTCAGTAAGTGTCCAATCCATCTCCATTTTTTCCGGAATATTTGTTGGTTTGTTCGTCTCCAGACATCTTGGTTACTAATCCTTTCTGGCCAGTTAGCAAAGACAGCTGTTGACAAAAGTCTTAAGTTTGTTGGGAGTACTCCCAGTAGCACAACATCAACCTCGCCTGAATTCGGAAACAGGGAAAAAGGTAGCAATTCTAACCCGGAAAAAATCAACCTAGTCATTACAGTTACTTCAATGTGCAGAAAAAGTACAAAAAGTCAACTTTTTACTCTATATAGTCTGTGAAACGAAATGACGCAGGCTGGTTAAAGCCTGCTAGGAAACCAATCAGTCAATGAAAGCAAAAATATGCATCACAACAAGGAATGTCAGCAGGATGTCCGAAAACACAACTTACCGGTTTAATATCATGTTCTAATGCATACAGGAAATCAGCACGTTTCACCAGTAATCGATCGAATGCATCAGGATCCAATTGAGTCTTTCCAGATGGCTAAACACAAGTGAAAAAAGTGTTACAGGCTCATGAAATGCAATCAGCGAGAATTAAATAAAATGGTCAACACACGAAAAGTAATTCCCACCATTCACAAAAATCAATAATTAACTAACAACTTTAAGAATGAATATAATGAACAGGTTTTAGTCCTAACCACAAGGATCATAATCATTCGGGCTTGAACCGACTTGATACCCTAAGGTATCCAATTACCACATTATGTTAGTTTGATTGTTTAAGCTATGAATTTTTAACTACGATCACTCTGTTCTATGTGTTCTAATATAATTGTGACGACTAGTAACAACAACTGGATCAGCAGATTGTTCTCGTGAAAATCATCAATTAACGATTAACTGTCACAACAGGCCACTTTAAACCGATAACATCTGAGAGTTCTCAAGATACCACAACACAACAAAATCATAAGATGTACTCACACGCACGCACGCACACACACACACATACATGCATGCATGAATGTCAGTCATTTTATTCATCAATGTCGTCAATAAAAACAACAACAATAACAACAATAGCAACAACTTACACTAATTAACTGATACATAGATGTAAATGCAGCAGCTCGACACAAGCCCTCAATTTCAGCACCACTGAAATTTTTGGTCTTTACAGCCAACTCCTTTAAGTCGACATCACGAGCCAATTTTCCAGATTGTTGCATTTTTGCAGTGTGTATATTTAGAATTTGTAGTCGACCATCTTCATCGGGTAAAGAGATTTCCATTTGCATCTAAAAATAGATATATACACGCATATATATATTTAAGTGGAATGCTTTACTGTTCTTTTTTTTGGAGAGGGGGTGAGGGGGGGGTTATTGGAAAAGTGTTTGCAACACTCTGTTAAGCTGTGAAGAGACAACTAAGCACTAATTTAAAATTTTCAGCTTATAGTTACCGTAAAAGCTGAGAATCAGTGTCTAAACTAAGTCGAAAAATGAGGAGTTTGAGAAATTATTGTTTTCACTACACTAGGAAATACAAAGCCCTTATATGTAATAGTAAAGCTAGGTCGTCGTTGGCACAGTGGTAGAATGCTCGTCGACCACGCCTCAAGTGGTCGATCCCCGGCCACTGACGCACTCCTTTACCTCGCTAAGCCAGTAATAAGTCTGGTAAAGAGCGAAGGTTGGACATGAGGCTAGCAACCCTATCCCATAAAAAATGAACACCAATGCTACCGGAACTTCAAGCCTCAAGCTTGAAGCCCTATGTTCCACTGGGAACATAAAAGAATAATACAAGACGCGTGTGGCCCAGGATAAATTCTTGGCCAACTCACTCAGTTTACTAAACGATGATAAAATATGAAGTAGAATGCTCGTAGCTTAATAAATCTTTGTGAGTTGTATCACACTTTAATAGATTGTTGTAGATGATGAATGGTAATCTTGACATGGAATACAAAAGGCAGTTTTTGGGTTTTGCTTGTTTGCGTCACACACACACACACACACTGCGAATGAAACACACTTTAAATATAAAAGATTTGACTATAGCATGAATCAATCTGCCAGATTTTTATTGTACTACTGAAAAAAAGTCTATCGATGACAAATCTGCTTTCGCAGTATCGACAACATTTAGTAAAAACCATTATGTGAGGGAATGAAGTCAATTCTTTCACTTATGTAAACAACACTGTTCCAACTTTCAGGAAACGGATGAAGATGTCAAAGACAACGAAGTTCAGAGAAGCGAGATAGACCCTGATTAATATAAATTCAGTGTGGAAATCTACTGCATTCATCAGCATGAAGAACAAGATTCCGCTTTACAGCACTATTGTCAAGTCAATCAGTTCTTCTGCATGGTTTAGAGGCTAAGTGTGCACCTGCCACCAAAAGCATTTCCTACAGACTACTCCTGCAGACTTTATTCGACATACTGAAGGTAAGATGGCGGGTCTGAAATGATCAAAGAGAAAGAGCTCTGCGCCAACAGACCAACGCAGAACCTATCGCCCAATAAATATGCAGCAGAAGACTTTTTAGTGACATCACGCGATAAGCAGACCATCGAATGGAACCTGAATGTGAAATGACAAGTTGGGCGTAAGTCAGAAGGTGGCATGGACGAGACCGTGTAAGGAGGAGATGAGAGCTGATGAGAAATTCTGGAGCCAGCTAAACAGGATGAAGGGGTTGGATAAAGCTACAAGTGAGGAGATCAATACACTACTTTAGTCTATGAAATGATTAGTTATATTTGGACGAAAAATCACGAAATCAAAAGAAAGTTTCAGTTTCAATTTGAAGCCAGGTGCACGTAAAATGTCACTCAACGACCCCATGAAAGTATATACATTCCGACTTCGATTCTATCTGCATATTTGTTGGACAGTAAGTTTTTGATCACTGGTTCGCTGCTTGCCACAGCTTCTTATTACTTATGTTTTCCGACTAACCATGTAATCTTCAGTATCGAGCGAGTGCAACTGGTAATGAAAATTTCCAGTGGAGTTCCGAACCATATAGAAAAAATTGTTCGTTGTGCTGTGTGATGTAGATATTCACACTGGCTTCAGAGAGAGAGAGATGAACGTGTGCCTTGCTTTTCTGATCCTAACCTAGCTTCTCGCATCTTCATCCGTGCCTACTGTGTACAGTTAAAACGATGTTGCCTAGATGAGTGAAAGCGACAACTTCCTTTATATTCCATCCCAATGATGGTGATTGGTGTGTTTGCTATCGACAGAGTAACCATATCACCATTGTCTTCTCCTATATTCACCTGAAGTGCCGTCTTCCCTGCCTTTTCTGTCAACTCCATTGGCTTTCTCTTGTATATCTTCGAGTTTATGAGACATGACAGGCAAAATCCAGATGTTTTAGAGTCATTCTCCGAGCTCCGCCACCTCTCCTCCGAAAAATCTATCGTGTGGAGCCAGGTTCGTCAGCGTTCGCTTTCCAAACGTATCACCGAATACTTACCAGCATGGCTTTACAAAGGAAAAAAACGATTACCCCGCAGCTCTATCTTAAAACATCTGATAGATTCCGGACACCAAGCTATGCCCCAAACAAAATTCAAAGCCATCTACAGAATACGAAGCAGTCTTTCTAAAATTGAACGAATCAGACTTCTTCAAACTGCAGAAGCAATGGCAATTCACTTGCTATGTCCTGAACTCTGCATATAGAAGAAATTCGTTCACAATCACTACACTTGCAACGGGTGTAATCTACCTTAATACCCGACAAGTAAATTCCACTTTTTTTCTGTCACTTCATTAGTATTATGTTTTCTTTTCAATTGTAGTATTTTCAATTTTCAACCTTCCTGTTCTTTATCCCTACCCGATTTAATTTCTGCACCTCACTACCACTGTGACTGACTTGACCAACGCTCAGTTTTTAGTCATTTATGTTACGTCATCCAACTTATTTGCTCAACTTTAGCTCTAATTTAAATGACATTATTCTCTATCCCACTTCTACTTAGTCTCTACCTGTAATCAACTCCGTTGCTACCCTGACTTAAGTTGAAACTTTGAATAAGGCATTAAGAAGACAAATTTCGCGAGATGATGGTATCATTTCGTAGTTTCTTTACAACCGCTTTACAACTGACATGGTTAACAATAATAAAATAAAGATCATGACGATTACTCAGTTAAATAAAAAAACAAATATACATATTAATGACCAATCATATTTAAATAGGTCATGTAGTCCATGGTAGGCGGAGATTGAAGTCTATTGTCATTTTTACACACAGTTAAGGCTGTATGTGATTAATCCTCCAAAGTGCTTCCATCACCTTCAATAACCAACCTTAAATTAGGGTTATGTGAGATAACTGTGAAACAGTCATTAATATTGATTTTGTGACCTGACATTAATAAGTGTTTTAATTAAGTTACTGTCCTGTCCAGGTAGGTAGGTTTTCTATAAATGGATCTTTTTATTGACCCATCAAGCCGTCGACTAAGCAGTATGTCTAGGAAAGATAAACAATTACCTTCCTCTTCTACAGATGTAAGTGATATGCTATTCTGAACTTCATTCATTCGATTTAAAATTGAGGTGACAGAACAAGAGTTATCACTGATGATTACAATATCAACTACATATCTTCTAAAAAGTGGTACATTTTCGATTAAATCCTCCGATAAATTCTCAATGTACGACATATAAATATCTGCTAAAAGGGGCCCTAACGGACTGCCCATAGCAACACCATCAACTTGGCGGAAACAATCGCCTTCAAATGTAAACCTAACGTTGTTAGTACAAAGAACTAATAAATCCCTTACGTAAGATATAGGGAATGGGATGAAAAAATTGTTTGTGGAAATATAATCACACTTACATCTGTAGAAGAGGAAGATTATTGTTTATCTTTCCTAGACATATTGCTTAGTCGACGGCTTGATGGGTCAATAATAAGTGTTTTGCGATTTATGATGCTGGATTTCTATTCAGAACTTTCTATATGATTTAGTAGCCATTTTGGAACATGTTCTTTTCGACGACCACATTGGAGCATTCTGCTGGTTATATCTATATAGGTGTCACCACAGTTGCAGGTGAACTTGTAGATACAGTTTGAAGTAGAGTCCACAGAATGTCGTCCTTTTACCGTCATTAGGTACAGTGATCGAAAATGTTCGGCAAGTGAGATAAAGAGATGCGGCGTTTGATGGCCGATCGAAGTCTTTGAGTTGTCAACTGCATAATCTGGTCGCCCTTGAATGGTATGTTAATAAAGACAGCTAGCTTTCTTTGGTACAGAAGCTGTCTTTTCAAGATGTGGTCTTTCTTTACTGTGACAAGTGATAAAGTTTTCCGGATAACCATTAGCTAATAAAACTGAATGTATGTGTTGAAACTCATCATTCGGGCCCTTGTGAACAAACATTTCACTCAATAGGGAACGTTTATACTGGATAGGAACAAAACTGGTAAAATGAAGATATTGTCCACTCCATGTCTGTTTACGAAAAATAGATCGATGAATCGTACCATCATCTCTCCTAGTCATTGTAATATCCAGGAAACTGAGTCTATTATTCAATTCTAGTTCGGAAGTCACTCGAATATTTGGATGAATATGATTAAATAGGGTAATAAAGTTTTCAATAGGTTTACTATTATTACCAATAATGAGAGTATCATCTACATAACGTTTATATAGCATAAATTCTCCAAGCATACCTTGAATTTGCTTCTCTAATTTCGACATGAATACATCCGCTAACAGGGGCACCAGAGGGCTCCCTATCGCAACACCATCGATTTGTTTATATGCCTTTTCTTGGAAGGTGAATCTAATATTTTCTGTACACATTAAGATGATGTCTTTGATATAAGTTACAGGATTAGGTAAGTTTATCCCATTGCTTGTGAAGTTGAAACATTTTAGTCAATTATGTTACATCATCTAACTTACTAACTCAATCTTACTTTAGTTGCTGTCTGATTAACCTTGTTTCTATATAAGATCATTCTTGTATTACCTGATCAATTATCTAAACTTGACAAACCTCATGTACACACACACACAAATAATTATAAATGCGATTGTACAGCTATGTGAATGAATTTGCCGTCGAACAGAGTCTCTTCGTTGAATGTCTTCTCTTTCCCATAAATCTATTAAGGAGGAAATTTAAATACGGTGTGCATATTTCTGAGAAGAAACCATCACAACACAAATTAACCCGTTGACTAAAAGTGTAACTAACCAATAGCAAACATAGGTGGTAATTATAAAATAACTTCAATTGTATACATACCTCAAAACGTCCAGGTCTTAAAAGTGCTTCATCAATCATATCACGACGATTAGTCATACCAATGACAAGTATATTATTCAATTGTTCAACTCCATCCATTTTAGTTAAAAGTTGATTCACCACTGTATCATGCACACCAGCACCACCAGCCTAAAGAAAAAATTAAAATAATTGTGTGAATATGATGTAATAATATGATAATATATAACATACCATAAATAATAATAATCGAAAAAGCAAGCATAAATACATGATGATACATACTACGCATTAACTGAGATAAATAGATGCGCACCACTTACACGTCAAGCAGTAGTGCCTGCTAGCCAGACCGAAGCGATCTCAACACTTAGCAGCGGTTTCCCTTGTTTAGGACAGTGCTTGTCAGCGGTATACTGTTATGTATTCGTCGCTAAATTATTGTTATGGACTGGTCGAGAATTTAATAGTCCTGACGCAAGAAGGCGGAAATCAGAAGACCAGTAGGTTTGCGATGATACTTCTATTTTTCCAAATACAAGGAGAAGCAATAAGTGGTATCACACCAAAGTAAGTAAGTGCAAGTCACAAGATTGTGAGAACGAAATATATATATGAATGTTCAGACAAAGGTGTGAACAATCATTAGACAGTCTTAACATGAATGGCTAATTATAATGAAGTATCGATCCATATATACATAGCGAAATATAGCAGACATGTCAACAACCAAACATATAATATGGATATATGTCACCAACCAACGGACTGTCAACAAACACTCATATTATATACAATATAATATAGGGAGAATATACATTGTTAAAGGAGACAAGTTCATACAAGTGTGTTATGTACTAGTTTTCCCCGTCGCCAAATTGTTATGTACTCGTCGCTAAATTATTGTTATGGACTGGTCGAGAAATTAATAGTCCTGACGCGAGAAGGCGGAAATCAGAAGACCACTAGGTTTGCGATGATACTTCTATTGTCCAAACACAAGGGGACGAAAATAATGGTCTCACACCAAAGTGGTAAGTAAGTAAAGCAGTTGTAAAGTAAAGTAGTTCACACAAATTGTGAATGCGAATATATATAAATAATTCAGACAAGCGTGGGAAAAATCATTAGACAGTCTTAACATGAATGGCTAATTATAATGGAGTGTCGATCCAAATATACATAGCGAATATAGCAGACATGTGAAACAAACATATATGGATATATGTCACCAAGTAACGGACTGTCAACAAACACTCATATTATATATAATATAATATAAGGAGAATATACATTAGTAAAGGAGACAAGTTCACACAAGTGAAGTGGTCACAGACTAACCGAGCAAACAGAAAGAGAGACCAACATGCACACACCTAAATATATATATGCGGATACATATCATATACCCGACCTGACACATAGCTTCGAGAGCTGGAATTATTTCAAACTACTCGAATATCGGCTAGCTACCTTTACTTAGGCCCTTACTATTATTATCATCCCCTTGCGTTCCGACTGGAACATAGGGCTTCAACAACACATCCCCACTTTGTCCAATATCCTGTCATCCTCTTCATCTGGCTGACCCCACGATTGCCTACAATATCTCATCTCCTCCTCCAACTCACACGATCTCCTCGATGTTACTCTCGCACTGAAGACCCATTCATCGCTTCCCATTGTGATTCCATTCGAGCACTGGCTTGGTGCGCCATGTTAATCGACGGTCTCCTCAGTGGCGTATGCCCGGTCCATCTCCGCTTTTTCCTACATATTTTTTGAGCGATCGGCTCTCACTTTTTGGTTTGTTCCCACAGTTTCTTGTTGCTTATTCTTTCTGGTTGGCTGAATGGCCATTTGACCTTCAGTATGAAGCCAGCGAAGGCAGCTGTCGATGAAAGTCTGTAACAAGCTGTCGGAAATCTTTTCCGTGACACGCCAAGTTTCTGACCCATATAGGAGAACCGACTTCACATTGGTGTTGAAAATGCGAATCTTGTTCCTCATGCTGAATGCGGAAAATTTTCAAACTGGTTTCAGGTTGATGAAGGCGTATCTTGCATTTCTGATTCTGCCTGGATGGCTTTAACATCTTCGTCCTTTCCGCCTGTAGTTGAAACGATGTTTCCTGGCTGGGTAAGTGAAGGAAGCAATTTCTCCCGTTGATGGTGATTGGTGCTGGTTGTTGTTGTTGTCGGTTGGTTGATTGGTTATTTTCATCACCTCTGTCTACTCTGTGTCCACCTGCAATCCTGTTTTCCCCTGCCACTTCAGTCAGTTTGTCGGTTTTCGCTTGCACTTAGGCATTGTGAGTATCTAAATGCTCATATCAATCGATTAGTAGTACATAGCATTAAACAATTATGCTAATTAGAAACTACAAGGCATATATTCGGTAAACTGACTCATATGAAGCTTTACACATACTCAAGATTATAGACGCAGATCCTCCTCTCTTAGAGAACTTTCCAAAACAGCCGATGCCCTCCTAGCCGATTGTAAGCCCAAAGCGAGGAAAGGATGGGGCTGACAACGCTGACCCCTACCAAAAAAACAGCATATACCGCTGCTAAAACTTCAAAAGCTTGAATCGCGTCAAGTAAACTGTCTCTCTAGGAGCGGGGAGAAGATGAATGGAACAACCAACTGACTTAAATTCGATGAAAAATTAACATCTGATTAGTAGCGAAAGTGTGCTGTATGTACTCTTACAATTTGCAGATGTGTAGAGTCAATTAGCCTAAGGACCAGTCTACACAGTATAGCTGACTAACAGACATGAATCAAAACTGTTTGGCCTATACAACTGCTACAGTAAACTGATACATTTAATATTTACAACTTTTATACAAATTAGTTCTCTTTATGAATTTCAGTAAAGCAATCAGAAGACATAATTTATCGGAAATGTGCAATGAAAGTTATTTGCGCGACACATTTCGAACATTCTCATCACACACGTACCGGTTATTCATATTTACATCACAAAAGGCAACAAAGTATATCTGGTCACACGTACATAGGGAGGATCCATTGATCTTTTCAGATCAGAGATACAAATCAAATTCGATCAAACCCATCAAAGGGAGTAAAAATTAAGACATCTGGGGATAGCCGAGGCACTAGCTATCCAAAAGCTTAAACCCATGCGCTATGTATCCAAAAACAAATACGTCCAACCCTTGTCTCTGTCATGGCCAAACAGGGCGAAGTTAAACTTTCGACACCACTAACTACCAATCAGCGAATTATCCAATGAGGTTCACGAACACAGTTCAATGTTGTATAGCGCTTGAATCATTTCTAATGCGTGACCTTACAACGCTACAGTTGCAATTCGAGGAGGTTAGTGTTTTCCACTATTTCCTGGATTTGAGTTGCTCCGGAAAGAGCGAATTTGTTTGTGTGGTTGTATCATTACTTTAAAAAGCTATACCAAATCAACTGATGGGTTTGTTCATCTGGAGAGGGTAAGCTGATAATTTTAATATTTCGTAGGAACTTACTTTCACTAGGTCGCATCTCTCCCTAACCCAGATTTTGTATATCTGCAACTAATGCGTGTTGAAACAGGCTGTGAGAGCAGCAGCTACCGAGATGGAGAATAGCCATGTCTCAACAGTTCAGTGGTACCAGCATTGCAGAGACATCGCATCATGGAAAATGGGGAAAATCACTTGTTTGCTAGGTGGGGAAGACGTTATCGTTCGTGTCGATGAGACAGTGCTGGTAAAAAAGAAATACAACCGTGGTCGCTAGAGAACGGACAATATTTGGGTAATAGGTTTGTATGACACCTCCCTCCGAAAGGGATTCGTCGAAAGGATACCAGATGGAAGAGCATTGACAGTCCTATGCTAAACTGGGAGATGTTTCTCTCACATGTTCGAGAAAGATATTCCATGTAACTTTTTCATTCTCTATTTTGTGCTTTTTTTCTATAAATATACATTCCCATTCATCATACATGCCTCTTTAATGTAATTGGTTCGTTCAAGGTCCTTTGTTGATTGGTTGTTAGTGGTGTCGAAAGTTTAACTTTGCCCTAAACAGGTAATTCTTTTAGTAATGACCATCCTGTTGCCTTTCTTATCTAAACTTCCTGTTTACTCATGTCAATTTTAGGTTTTCTTAATCCCCATTTAACACTACCATATTTTCATATCCCAACTTCCTGTTTATTTTGGCATTTTACTATTTCTACATATTTAATCCCTGATTGCATAAACAATTATTAATCACATTAGTTTTTTATCCAAACATCCTATCTATTTTTGTTATTTCTACATATCTAACCCCGAATTGGACAATATGTCAATCTTCTCAGTAATTATGATGCTACTTTGTTTGAGTTTTATCCGCCCCATCCCCCTGTTTATTATGGGCATTTTAATTCCTAATTGTAATTTTATTAATTTAACCCTTGACTGAGAATTATTCTGGAAGTTTCCCACCCATTTATAAAAAATACACGAATGTACAGCCCAGTTGATGACTTCGTCGAAAAGGAGATTTTCCTCGCTGCAACTGTCTTTTTTTAAACTCGTAAGTGACTGCAAAAACCACTTAATTTGTTTAATCCTGGAAAGCACACGATAGAGACGTTATAAAATTGATTCGAATAGCGACCTTAAATCCATCCAGGCAGGTTTGGGGCGCATACTTAAAATTTTTGAAGTCTTAACTATAAAAAGACTCAAACCTGTTTAATTTATTCAGAAATTACTTATTATCACTTTGAACCTGCTTTGTAAATAATACTCTTACCCACCCCCCTTGTTTCCCTTACCTCATTTTCCTACCTCTTATCTGTTATATCTTGATCTGTAAACATTTTGACCTATATTGATAAAAATTCTGATCCTTTTCACTCTGCCACCTTTCTTGCTTTCTACTTTCCTTCTGTTTAGATTATGGTAAAAGTTTAGTTAGAGATTAGCAATGTAGCCAGCTAACTAGCTAAGAAGCACAATTACTGTTTGGTGAATCTGCCTTGAAAGATCTAATCAAAATGTTGATGCCTATTTGAATGTTTTAGCTAACTTTGTAATTATTGCAAAAGTTCCCTTTGTATTTCCAAATCAATGAATGAAAAAGAGCGAAACGATATTGTTGTTTTTACTGACGTTTCGCTATTTAATTCTGCTGTTAATAGCTTTATCAAAGTAGTAGTATTAAAGCAGAATTTACAAAATCTCAGCTTGAATATAACAACTTAATCATCGTTTATCAGCATGGGGTCACTTTTCCGTTGTCAGGTTGGCTAATTGGTAAAGATCCCAAAACTAAGTGTAGGTTGTTGGATTTGATAAGCGTAGAAAATTAGAAAGTACAACAGTAGCATGTGTCTACAGAATGAAATTGCCTATCACACATTTGTGTTGATTTTGCCAGTTTACACAATCTCCGGATTAGTAGATGTGGTATCCGGTTGGCTGGCTGTCGATCGAAGGGTGCGTTTAGTGCTCAGCAGTTCGCCCCGTCCTCTTTTATGCCTGGTTGTGAGCCAGACATGGCCATTGAAAGCGATCATAGGTGTTTGCATTTTACCTCCCGTGTTAGGTTGTAGTAGTGTGAGTAATATTGTCTTGGTTAGGCGTCGGTCGAGTGCTAGGTGGTAAGTGGGAGGAGAAATCAATCGACGAGTTGGTTGTGAAGCAGTTACACCGATTTAGAGAGCTGCTTAGGACATATCTAGCATGTCTAGTCACCGATCGCCTTCCTCGACCGACGGACAGGCAATATTGGCTGATACAGGATGAATGAGGTTGAAAAAGAGTTAGCTAGTGGTGGTGGTCAAACCAAAACATAGCTTCATCAGTCAATGAAATCCACAAGAGTTAGTTTAAGCTAACCAGTCTATCAGCCTTGTTGGGTTCCTTGTGATGGTAAAAACAAATGATGACTGGAGACAATTGGTGATATAGCTCAAAGTGATCGTTCTCAACGGCTGGCGCAGATGCATTTACTCTTTGTGATTTATACTGTACAATAAAATTATATTGTTCTTCCCTATTACTAATCTTTTTGCCTCATATTTCTGCTTATTATCTCTCTCTCTCTCTCTAGAATCTCTTTCTCCACTCTCTTCTCTTGCTTTGTGTGCTACACGGAGGGAGAGTGGCATCCCAAACTGGTGCATATCGGTGCAAAGTTTTACGTTGAAACCAGTCAGCCAGTCAGTCACTGTTTTCAATACACTGGGAAATACGAAACTCTTATGTCTAATAGTAAAGCTACATCGTCAGGGGTTCATTGATAGAATTCTTACCAGTCACGCATGTGACCCAGGACAAATTCCTGACCGACTCACTCCGTTCACTAACCGAAAGTACGATATAAAGGGGGGGTGGTTGTAGCCATCAATCCTATTCAGATAATTTGGATTCCATTTGATATGAAGTGCTATTGATGTTATTAGACGTTCTTTGTGACTTCTGGAATTTTTCTGAATTATTTCAGTATTGTCAAAATCAATTTTGTCGCCTGATTCTATAGCTTGTAGACCTACGGCTGATGATTTTTCAAGCTTTTCTAGTTCAACTAAATTTCTCGATGGTCGAACAAATGCTCTACAGTGTTCATTTCTTCTGATCGGGTCCCAGTGGCTCAATGGTCTACGAGCTCGCCTTGTAACCAGAAGGTCCTGGGTTCGAATCCCGGTGGGTGCGTACTGATGAGGAGTCCCAAACTAGGACGAAACGGCTGTCCAGTACTCCCAGGTTTTCCAGTGGTTCTCTAACTGATGTCAGCTCATGATTAAATCCTCCATGATTTTTATTTCTCGTGATGTTAATCCCATGTATATAGTATTACATTCCATAATACTTTGATAAAGCTATTAGAGGCATTGAAATAGCGAAACGCCAGTAAATACTATACGTTTATTCCCCTTAATGAATTTGAACAAAGCAAGAACTACAGTTTTAGCAGAATAAAATGGTACCATCTTTTATTTCGTTGCCTTCTCGTCAGCTGCTTACATGGCAAAGACATCATTAAATATATCTACAACAACAATTTTAACATACTTGCACGGAGTTCAGTTTAAACAAAAATCAATCGATCAATATACTCATACACTAAAAATATATACATATATAAATATGCAATATTAACCACTATTCCGAACAATAACAATCAAACACAATGGAAACTTTTAGCATTTCACATTCGGATGAAAGAGAGATGAAATTATCTAGTTAGCAGGGCAAAGAAAGGCTGATAACGCTTCTTTCTGGACGCATAAATCAGGTTTCACCTCTCTTTCCTCCGAATGTGAAATGCTAAAAGTTTCCATTGTGTTTGATTGTTATTGTTCGGAATAGATGTTAATATTGCATATTTATATATGTATATATTTTTAGTGTATGAGTATATTGATCGATTGATTTTTGTTTAAACTGAACTCTGTGCAAGTATGTTAAAATTGTTGTTGTAGATATATTTAATAATGTCTTTGCCATGTAAGCAGCTGACGAGAAGGCAACGAAATAAAAGATGGTACCATTTTATTCTGCTAAAACTGTAGTTCTTGCTTTGTTCAAATACTATACGGCTTTGTTTTTCATTCATTGAGAAACACAACAGCTTTTTATAATAATGAGTATCATATATATATATGCCCACTGCCCTAATTTTTTCAAAGTGTTAAAACCGAACTTGATTTGGACATTTATAACTTTGTAATTATTGCCGTTTTCACCCCTAGACTGTATATCATTGTTCAGACGTTTGCATATCATCAATTGTTGACTTAATCCTTATTAATCATCTTTTTCACTGTTTAATCCCTAGTTTTTTTATGTTTCTCTTTGCGGTTGTCTGATGGTATTGATAATAATGCGTTGTATTACATGAATTCAGATTCGCTGTGCGGGTGTTGACCTTTCACTGTCTGCAGGCATTGTTTGGTGTGTGTGTGTGCGTGTGTGTTTGAATCTTGCCGTCGACAAAGTTTTGATTCAACCTTGTTGGGAATATTTATCTTCTTGACTCTCAGGTACTTCTTAGGGTTGCATTTTTGTTAACTAATTTTGTTTAGAGTAGAGCCAAAGATGAGGATCTAATCGAAAAGTAAATATTTCTTCGCTCAATCTTTCTGTTTTCTTATTTCGTTTTGTAGTACGAGTGTTGTACTGGGAAATTATCTGATTTGTATAGCTGCCTAACGGTATTTTTGTGGTAATTTACAGTTTTTAATGTTACTATTATTACAGGATTCCATCGTGAACTGCTATCGGTTAAAGAACCATCAGACGGCTGTATCGTCAGTCTAGTTTGGGACTCTTCATCAGTACGCACCAACCGATTTCAGTTCATGATGAAATCCTGTAATAAATTAATCAAATCCCTACAAACCAACACTTGAATATCAGTGAGTTGCTCACTAGTGACTGGCTCTGTTCAATTAGGTAGTTACCTGGGATTCTAGTGGGAAGTCGTGACCAGTAGAGTACAGCAGTTCGGGTATGTGGAAAAATACTCGCCACCGATGACATTGGCTACTGGTTGGCGGAAGTTGGAATCCATGGGCTAGCTACCGGATCGGGTCCCATTGGCTTAATGGTCTGCGAGCTAGTTCGCCGTGTAACCATAAGGTATTGGGTTCCAACGCGGACGAGTGCGCACTGCCGAAGAGTCCAAAACTAGGACGAAATAGCTGTCCAGCACTCCCAAGTCTTCGAATGGTTCCGTAACCAAAATCAGTTCATGATGACATCCTGAAACCAATCAGATCCCTACAAACCAACACTTGAATGTGATTATCATTATTATCGTTAAATTGAACCGTAGATTTTATCGCGAACAACTGTCGTCCTACTAACGTCGGGACACTTTGGGACTGTGAGTCACTCAGGGAAGTTTTAGTTAGCTACAATACAGTAGAACGTAAAGACTGGTCTCCTGCGTTCAAACCACAATACGTCGATTCTGGTCGTTACAATATACACTGAAACCAGTTTGGTAATCTTTTGCACTCACTTAGTCAGTATAAACAACAAGATTAGGATTCTGTTCAACACAAATGTGAAGTCAGTCAGTCACTTCTTTTATACGGGTCAGAAACTTGGCCAATGTGTCACGAAGAGGATTTCCAACAGCTCGTTACAAAGTTTTATCAACAGCTGTCTACTTCACTGACTGGCTCCATACTGAAGATCAAATGGCCAGCTGGTCAGAAAGAATTAGCAACAACAAATTCTGGCGATGAACAAACCAACAGGTGAAAGCCGATTGCTCAACAAATATGTAGGAGAAAATGGAGATGGATTGATCAGGTATAGGTTGAAATGGCCGTCGAATGACATAACGCACCAGGCCAGTACTCAACTGGAAGCGACGAATGGGTAATCAGTGCGAAAGTGATATGTGGGCGACCGTGCGATCCGATGAGAGATTATGGGCAGTGGTGGACCCAGATGAAGACGGTAGCAGAAAACAGAACAAAGTGTAGATGCGTTGCTGAAGTCCTATGTTCCACTCGGAACCCAAGGAGTAATAATAACAACAATAATAATAGTAATAATTGTACAGAAGGTATGAATATATTACTTCTCTTAAAAAACAAAAAAACAGACACACCACTCACTGTAGATCCACGTGATTTACAGATTGCATCAATTTCATCAAATATAATAATATGCAAAGCAGAATGTGCACCCATACGTTTCTCTTCATCTTCAGCATCAGCGAATAACTTACGAATATTCGCTTCAGATTCACCAACATACTTATCTAATATACTTGGACCATTGACAATTTTTGGTTCACGTGCATTTAACATTTTACCAATTTGTCGTGCCATTAGCGTTTTACCCGTACCAGGTGGACCGTACAGTAGGATACCACGAACATGTTTTAAACCTGAATTGATAGTGCAGGAAAAAAAAACCACGTAAAATCTCATACATATATAAAGGTAGATTATTACTTAATGCAGAAGAATCATCGGAAACCAAGCAACCCTGAATAGCCGTTCCTTCCCTACGTAGATTGAAGTGACAACCATAAGATGTCAGGACATTCAGATTGCTAACGACCACTAAATTGAAATCCATTCCCTCACAACATCTATCCTGTGTCAAATGACTGATTATTAAATATAACGCTGTCATCATTCGAAGTCATAGATAAGTATTCATAGACAAATGTATACTCTAAATGATATCTGTTTGCGATGAAATTAAAAAATATAATGACAAATGCATAGATATCCGTTGCTTGACGACAGGTATGCAAGCTAAATTTAAGGCTTGCAGCAATTCGGTAGATATTGATTAACAGTTGAATCTTGAATGCGTGGGACTCGTCATCCGGACTTTTAGAAATGTCAATGCGTTGTTGAAGCCCTATGTTCCACTTGGAACCCAAGGGAATATATTAATACTTTTTAAGAGTTGGTTTATAAGGATTGTATTTGTTTTTACGAGTTGATTACGAATTAATATCAGTTAGAGAATCACTGAAAACGACGGAGTACTGGATAGCTGTTTCATCCTATTCTGGGTATCATCGGCAGTAAGCACTCACTGTAGGATTAATTTTGTCTACAGATTTACTCCTTCCTCAGTACTGACGACACAGAGTCTTGGCTTAACTATAGTTAAAAACAGAGTGACTTCACTTAAACTTTATCTGTTTCTAAAACATGAAATAAATCATACAGTTACACCAAGAAAAGTATAAAACTTATTGTCACTCAAAAAAAGACAAAAACGTGACGAATAGTATTGAAGGAACGGACAAAATGAACAGTTAATTAATTACATGTACACACAAATAGAGTGACAGAAGACAAAGAACACTCAAGGTCACATCACGTGGTGTGAGTTACATTAAATTAACCAATAATCGCGACAAAAAGGTCACATAATATTGATCAGCTGTCTATCAAACAGTCTATCTATCTGTCGCGACTAACACCCACTGGGGTTCGAACCCAGGACCTCCCGTTACAAGGAAAGCCCGTATACCATTGAATTGGGTCCCAGTGGCTGAATGGTATAGAAGTTTGCCTTGTAACTGGAAGGTCCTAGGTTCAAACCCCAGTGGGTGCGTACTAATGATGATTTCCAAACTAGGATGAAACAGATATCTGAATAGAACAAAAAACGGTTTCTGCAGAACAAGATGTTACTCTGTTTATTTCGCTAGCTTCTCATCATCTGCGTACAAGGTGCATAAATTAATTTAATCTATAGAGCAGTTTTAACTTAAGATGATAAGTAACGAATAAGCTGAGTAACAATGTGGCGAGAGTCCAACTCAAATCACAGGATAAAAGCATAATTCCATTGTAGCAGAAGGGATAGAAGTTAAAGTCAGATGAAAAGGAAGAGTAAAGAATCCTAGTTACCAGAGCAGGGAAAGACCAACAACTGCTTCTTTCCGAATACACAAATTGGGTTTCAGACGTTTGATAACGATTGCTTCTGCAAACTTGAGGAGTGAACTGCATTGTCTACTGAGAGATTTAAAGGATTTCAAGGTGTCCACATCATGACCCGATGCCTACCAAAAACACTATCGAAAGCATCTGAGATGCAGACTTTTTAAAATACATATTCTTCAAATATAGCTGCTACCGCAGATAGACATAAATTTGTACTCCTGACATCTTATTCTGAAAAAGCCGCTATTTTTGGTTTATTCAAATTCATAAAGGTGAATATATATGCGAAGTTCCGCCTCTCTATTCTACCCTATAGATTGAAATACTTTATTCCTATTATAACTAAGCGCACGCCACCGCTAACTTCTAGTCTACGAGCGTTTTTACTAGGTTAATCCAATAGAAACGACAAGTCATCTTCACGAGTATACATACTTAGGCAACAAACTATCCTATTATCAGACCAATGAATTTTATTTTCAATTTTAATTTTCAATCAAATCCCTACAAACCAACACTTGAATACCAATGAGATGCTCAATAGCGACTTGCCCTATTCAGGTAGGCAGTTACCTGGGGTTCTAATGAGAAGTCGTGACCAGTAGGGTGCAGCAGTTCGGGTGTGAGAACAAATACCCGCCGAAGACATTGGCCAGGGGTCGCGCTATGTTGTGAATTGGCGGAAGTTAGAATTCATGGACTGTCCATTGGATCGTGCCCCAGTGACTGAATGGAATACGAGCTCGCCCTGTACTCGGAAGGTCCTGAGTTCGAATCCCGGTGGGTGCGTGCTGATGAAGAGTTCCAAACTAGGACGAAACAGCTGTCCAGTACTCCCAGGTTTTCCAATGGTTCTCTAACTAATGTCAGCTCATGATGAAATCCTGAAACCAATCAAATCCCTACAAACCAACATTTTGAAGTCTATTCATCAATTATCCCGAATAAGGATTGGTCAACATCGTACGATAAAAGCTATCCCTTGCATTTCGATACAAACACCAGATTCAGAGAAATATTTCAAGTTAGGCGACAAACTGATATCAATTAGAGAACCAACGGAAACCAGTGAGTAGTGGTACTGGACAGTTGTTTCGTCGTAGTTTGAGGCTCTTCTTGAAGTACTCACCTAATGTTGGATCGTATTTTGGTATTTTTTTTATTTTTATCCACATTTCTGTGCAGCTCGGTACTAAAAGACTGAGCTTATTATAACTTCAGGTTATAGTTTTATAGGAATTTTGACCAATATCACTTTCGATTTCATCACAAACCAATTATCAGTTGGAAAACTATTGAAACCCAAGGGAACACTAGACAGATATTCGCGAATATGCGGCTGTGAGTATCAGGGTTTCAAATCCACGCCCATTCGAGTTGTACGCCAATTTCATTGACTGTTCAGCCACTAAGTTGAGACTCAATGATCCATGAACTTCAACTGCCGTCAGTTTGCCATATATATCGCTACCGCTAACCAATAGCATCGATGTTCCCGTTGGTTTCTAAAGATTCCCTAAGAGATGTTGATTCTTTATGAATTGTAGACACCAGAATGCTATCTGATATTACTAATTATAATCCATCATCCTTCATGAATAGTACAGTTTTGTTATGGTGCGACCGAGTATAAATATGACAAACAAGATACATTCCAACCCGAAGAGTAAATTTAGAAGACCCAGACGTTGACGAAGTATACGTATATTATTCCAACAAGGGAAATTAACTATCGCACAAGAGTATGAATGGATAAGTATCAATTAATTGTACAATACAAGAGTATAAAGCAAATAACCAAGATACATGAACCAATAAGATAGATAAGTAGTTTTTCTTTCTTCCAACTGGATTCTGATTGGCTTCAATGTCATGTGACAAAGGCCATACATTGTTTATTTAAGTGATTGACAGACAAGTAACTAACGTTCAACAGAAATATAGCAAATCACTATCAGATTGGCAAACAAAGCAGATAGCATGTGACTACATATCACCTCCCCTTGTGTGAAGATTATTGATTAGTAGCGTACTTTCTTAGCGTTAATCTGCAAATGTTGAGTTTGCTGCCGACGTCTACTGCTTTGTCTGCTTGTTGGAGTTGCGGCTTCTGCTTTCTCAGGAATCTTTAGAGCTGAGTAATTTTGTTTTTCTGTTTTGTCGATTGTGGGTAGGTTAAAAGTGTCTAAGAGTATATCCAGATGCAGAGTTGACTTTGTACCAGTTGGAATATCTGAGCATCTTGGAAGCAACTGATTGTAATGACGGGTCCCTAATTCACTATGTGACCATCACATCTTAAATAACTCGACCTCGTCACGCTGAAATGTAACCTTTATTCCAAGGTTTATGCTCTGCTCAATAGTCGCGAACATAGCTTCACCCACATCAAATTTTCTCTCACTTCGAATTGATGAATCGGCACGACTGGATGCCGGTGGTAGCATGAAGCTGTGAATCGTCCTTAGTTCACCTCCGTAAAGAATTTCTGCTGGCGATTGTTTGTTTGGTGTTGACTTGTTCGAAGATGTGCGATAAACCATCAAAATATTTCGACGATATCAAATGGTGTTCCCTCTCCCTCTGCTTTGAGTAGAGCTTTCTTCAAAGTGTCGACAAAACGTTCTGCTTGACCGTTTGACTGGGGATGATACGGCGATGAGAAGTGCTTGATAGCATTTTGACTACAGTACTGCTGAGATTGGTGAGACGTAAACTGTGAACTGTTGTCTGTAACTATTGTTTCTGTCATACCATGATGGAAGAATATGTCAGCCAGAGCTTTGAGAGTCTGCGACGTTGTTGGTGGAACGATTGACATAACTTCTGACCATTTCGAGAAAGTATCCACCACCAATAAAATAAGATACACCATTTATAGGACCGGCAAAATCAATATGAATTTGAGACCAAGAGTGGTCTGCTGGTGGCTACGGTATGGGAGGTAGTTGATGAGGTAATTTTGCTGTTTGTTGACATTTCGAACATCGTCGAGCAAAATCGATAATATATTTATCCATATTAGGCCAGTATGCGAAACTTCGAGCAATAGACTTTCTGCGCTGAACACCAGGATGTCCCCTGTGAAACTGTTCGATGAGTTTATTTCGTAGTGGTTCAGGTATCACTACGTGCTCTCCAAACATTAAGGAGTCTTTTACAACACACAAAGAGTCACGACGGGCAAATAGGTGTTTCGGGTTTCCCCTATATTGAATTTTCGGCTAACTACCGGATACATACTGTGTACTACGTCGTAAGGCTGCATCACTGCTTGTAGATCGCTGGATTTCTGCAAAAGTTACTGATAGAGATCGGGCAGCATTATCTATGAGGTGAACTGTGTAGTCTTCGGTGGCAATCGCTGTAATTACCGTGTCTTCACTTGATGTAGGATATTCGCCAGTTTCTGTTCTGCTGTTAAGTTCGCCTGGAGAATTCGCTATCACCAAGACATCGTCAAGATAGACGGCGACACGAGGAATACCAGCCAAGATGGTATCCATCAACTGTTGGAAAATAGCTGGAGCAGTTTTAACTCCGAAAGATAATCTGTTGTATTGAAACAGACCGCGATGTGTATTAATAGTAAGGAGTTATCGGCATTCTGGAGCTACTTCAACTTGCAGATATGAGTCAGCAAGATCCAGTTTTGCAAAATAAGAGCCACCATTTAAAACAGTGAATAAATCAACCGGGCTTGGTAAAGGATAATGGTGCTTTTCTAGTGCGTAGGGACCCATTTGATATCTTGACAACCACGATGGGGGCCCATGCCGAGCACGTGACTGGTGCTAATACACCTTGTTATTGTAATCCCTCCAATTCTTCGCCAACTCTTGCTACGGATGCACACGGGACTGGCCTCTTTGGGCAAAAAACCGGTTTGGCATCTGGGATAGCACTCAAAATATAGCTTGCATCGAGGTGCAGTGGCCTAAACCAGGTTGAAAACACAGGTGCAAACAGTTTGCAAGTTTTCCGGATGATACATGTTGCAACTACTTGCTAGGCTCATTTTTTAAAAATTCTACAGTTATGTTCAATACCATCGAATCATGTTTTGAGACCAACAACTCACATCTGACAGACAATCAATGAATCCAATGCAATACAAACACCATACCTACCAAGTTGTTTTCCAACAGCTGGTGGAAACATCCTTGACGCAAAAGTCCTTCGGAATATAGCTGAGAATTCTTTATCCAATCCACCGATACCCATTTGATTAAAATCCCAGTTAGGATTGATGATGCTCTGGTAACCACCGCCACCACCGAGAGCACTTGCCCCGTCACCATCCAATGCAGCTTTACCAATTAATAATAACTTTGAATCCGGTTGACGCTCCCATCGTATCACTGTATTCCCAGTCAACATGCCTATCTGTTAAAAGGCAAGCAGTTAGCAACAAAAAAACACATACAATTATTAATCAGTTTAAAATTTTAAAAAATAAAGAACGCATGTCTCAGCAAGTGCATGATAAAGTTTTACAAATTCAGATTGATATGCAGAATTTTGTTATCACCATTACAGGGATGATAAGTCAGGGAATGAAGTGTTACACATGCCAAGCCACTGGCATCCTCGCTTGAGCAGTGTTAGCTGACACAAGATTAGGTTGAAGAAGTGGATAAAGCAAAACTTAGCCATCTCTGTCTACGAAATCTTTAACTCAAGTGCTGGTTTGTAGGGATTCGATTGGTTACAGGATTTCATCATAAGCCTGCATCGGTTAGGGAACCATTGGAAAACCAGCCAGGAGTACTGGACAGCTGTTTCGTCCTAGTTTGGGACTCCTCATCAGTACGCCACCCATTGGGTCCTAGTGGCTTAATTTTCTACAAGCTCGCCTTGCAACCAGAAGGCCCTGGGTTCGAACCCCGGTGGGTGCGTACCGACGAAGAGTCCCAAACTAGGATGAAACAGCTGTCCAGTACTCCCAGCGTTTCCAATGGTTCTCTAACCAATGTCAGCTCATGATGAAATCGTGTAACAAATCTTTAACTATAAGTTTGAGCTAACCACATAGGGAAATATTCACTGCCTGGTCGTATGGGATCTTCGGGGTGTGAAGAACCAATAGCTGTAGACGATCCTGTTGGTGATACAGTTCAGAATGGTGTAAATACATCCAGTCGTTGTAATCTCTCAGACCCATTACACCCTCATGTTGTTGCTTTTTTTCAAGTTTACTATCCTGGCCAAGTTAAACTTCAAGCACTACTAACTAACTACCAATGGAGTGCGACCACACCAATGACTTTGAAATGCTCACGGGCAAATAATGTTGTCGCCACTAATAAAATATGCTCATCGAAGTGTTACGCTATTAAATGGGATATCTGGCAAGTTTCAGCTGAGGTTTAGGAACGATTAAGTTACGCTTTAAGCCAAAGACAAGTTAGGGTTATCTTAACCTAATAAAAGCGAAATTGGGTTTGGTTCAAGTTAGATTACATCTAGTCTAGGGATATTTCCGCGTTAGGAATAGGTTCAGGAAAGATTAGGGTTATTGTTAGGGTTAGAAGACCTAAATAATTACATGCATGGAATGCGGTTCAATTACTCTGTTGATATAAGAATAGTACTTGTGGACTATGGTAGAGTATAACTCCACTGTGGGTAAAATTTATTTTGATAAATTTTCAGTGTTATACAGTAATACACTATGATTCTCAGCATGACTAACTTATTATACGAGGAAAGACTAGACAATTTAAATCTCTTCTCCTTGTCATATTGTAAGCAGAGAGGAGATTTAACCACAATGTTTAACATTTTAAATAATAACTACGGACCTGAACTATTTTCTCTTTTCCTTCCCACCAGATCGGAACACCTTAGACGACATAGCAGGAGAGTTCAAAAGCCAAGAAGAAATCATATTGCTGTTGAGTACTGGTTCTCACACCGAGTCATAAACTATTGGGACCGACTCCCAGAAGAAGTGGTGTCTGCAGCCTTAACTGATTCATTCAAGAAGGGTTTGGATAACCACAGCAATTTACTAGAAAAGATTGACATAGGCTCCAAGCCTTCTATCCTGAACCAATAAATCTGAAATATAATATTTACTGATGACGTTTCGAGTACAATTTATTGCTCAGTAAATAATACTGTATAACACTATAAGACTTCCTCAAAAATTTTACCCACAGTGGAATTATACTTTGTGGATAGCCCTATCTAAAACTGAGAGATATTTTTATCGCATGTGAAGAGGTATCCTCTGCAACACTTTCATACAGTTTCTATGCATTTTGTTTTCATAAATAAATGTATTTCATGCATATAAAATACCTCCTTCAGGTGATTGGTACGTTCGAGGTCATTCGCTGATTGATAGTTAGTGGTGCTTAGAGTTTAACTTTGCCCCTTTTTGTGCTGCCTGTGTTACGACAACCTGAGATCCAGTCAATCAATGAATGCGACACTTTTAGATGTCCTAGCCAGTTAATCAAGGTTTTTAAGATTAACTGTTGTTGAACTTCAGGCAGTTATGTCTCTATTTTAACTTCACAGAAAATTTTCAACCAGGAGGCAAACTTTACAGGACAATAGTCAGATGTGTTTTAAGTATACACACAACGTGTACCTATGACTGATTGACTGACTATTTCAACGTGAAAATTTGCACAAAAGTGCACAAAGTTCAAGCTACCATCTGTGCCATTTACAAACATTATGAGCCATATCACCAAGTTTCAAGGCACTGGGTTTTTTAGAATCTGGAGGGCCCCCAACAAGGCAGTCTATGTACCTCCCTACGTGGCTAGCTCAAACAAATAGACAAAGACTTCGTGGATACATCCCGGGCTTTGATTTCGTTATCTCTGACTCTTTTCCAACATGATCCGATGTCAGTGAAAATTATTTGACAAGAAAGGCAATAGTTGGATGTATGTAACACATGTCCTAGACACCACAGTCGATGCAGCTTTACAACTTCATCGATTAACTTAGCTTCCTTGTCTAACACTCTACACCTAACCTGAATATTACGCACTATATTTATACCACGAAAGACGGGAGACAGAATACAAATATCAATAGTCAGCGTGTAACAAGGAATATGGCAATTTAACACAGATTGCAATATTGCTGTGCAGTGAACACACACTATGCTTCTTCATCATAGACCGATAGATAACTCAAAAACCAAAGATAACAGATAAAAAAATGACGTAGCATGGCAAACTGGATGAAGTCTAGTAGATTATATAATAGTGTCTGCCTCTCTGTCTGTTTTCGACATAGAACTTTGCACCAATGTGCGACAGTTCGAGTTGCCACGCTCTATGTAGCACACAAAGCAACAGAAGAAAGTAGAAGAAATGCATAATACAGACAGTAAACAGAGGTGTGAAACAAAGGAATAGTAAAAACGAAGAACAATATAGTTTCATTGGAAATCATAAGTCACAGGGAATGGATGCATTTGCACCAGACATTGAGAACGATTTTGAGCCATATTACTAATTGTATCCAACCATTGGTTTTTACTGTCCCGAGGACCCCAACCAGACACGGAGTCTACACCTTCCTATGTGTCTGGCTAAAACTAACTGTTGTGGATTTCATTGACTGGTGAAGCCATGTTTTGGTTTGACCGCCGCTAGCTGGCTCTTTTCCAGCCTGACCCTATGTCAGCTAACATCGCCCGTCGGTCGAGGAAGGCGATGACTAGGCTAGGCATACGTAACACATGTCCTAACCATCTCAGTCGATGTAATTTCGCAGCCTCGTCGATTGGTTCCCCTTCCTTACCTAGCACTCGACACCTAACCTCAATATTGCTCACCTTATTATATCACTTCACACGGGAGATAGAACGCAAGCACCTATGATCAAAGACACCTAATCTTTTCATGTCTTCCACTCTCAATGGCCAGGTCTCACAGCCATAAAGGAGGACGGGGCGGGTAATAGTGTAATACATTGTTCTAATACATTACAATAGACCCTAAATATATAAAAAAGGTACTCGATATACACACACTGCTATTATCTTGTCAACAAAACCTAGAAATTCATGAGTAATGAGGTAGAACCAAGGTGATGTATACAGCGTTGAAGAACCCAGCATCTACTTTATTTCAATAACAAATAAATCAGTATGACGCTTCAATGCCTGGGAAGAAGGGAAAACACTACTAAGGTTGAAGGTGTACATATAAACCTGTCGTTGATAAACGCAACTAGAGAAATAACGTTCCAATACTCTGATCACATCGATCAGATTGATAAAATCAAATGTAATGTGATATGAGGAACAGTAAATAAGTATTGCGTCGGTGGCACAATGGTTAGGATTCTCGTTGACCATGCACGTGGTCCGGGGTTCGATCCCCTGCCAACGCACACCTGATATCTATAGTCACCATGCGAAATTTGGGCTACCGATACCACATGCTGAAAATTTCATACCTGTACCAAAAAATACGGTGTGGAATCAAGCTGTAATCAAAAATAAAAAACCTAGGTCAAGACCCACACACACACACAATGGATATGGCCCTCTATTGAGCTCAGTGATGTCTCTGAAGCGAGGACAGAGGTAAGACAAAGCTGCCTACTAACACCCATGATACTCCTGGGCCGGGTCATGTGAAAGACCATGAAAAGCGACCAGGAGCGAGAAGTACATAAGATTGACAAGAAGACTGTAGAAGATCTGGACTTCATCGACAATTTATGTCTGATATCACACAAACCCACAGACCTACAAATGAAAACCAACAAGTTGGCAGGAGAAGCAAGAAGTGAAGACAGGACTTCAAGTAAACATACAGAACACAGAGTGATGACGAAGATACGTAACCAACAACAACAACAACAACAAGCACAAAACACCCCCAACGGGATATATTTGAAGAGGGTCATTTCGTTCACTTATTTAGGCAGCATCATTCCAGGTACTACAAGTGATACGAATGAAGATGTCAAAGGCAGAGAAGGATCGGAGGAGCGAGAAAAAGTCAGCAACGGGGAACTCAGGCAACGAACAAACCAACAACCTATGGACGAACAAACAATCCAAAGAAAATGAAGATGAATCGGGCACAGGCTGAGGAGACGTTTGAATGACATCACATACAATACAGGCAATTGAGTGGAACTTGAATGGGGAAACTATTAGTAAGGAGTAGGTTCATAAGCAACATGGAGGAGATGAAGGCAGCTACAGACAACTGTAGAGAACAGGGTGAAACGACGTTGTACTGTTGAAACCCTATATTCTCCTGGAACGTAATGGAATAATAACATCTAATAAACATGTTGAAGGTCGAATGGTTGTTTCAACATAAAATATATTTATTTATATATATTTTTTGCGCTCCCAGTCGAACATAAGGCTTCAAGCTTGAGCTGTACCAGTGGTGTTCATTTTTTACGAGGTGGGGTTGCCAGCCTCACACGTCCAACCCTCCCTCCTAACCAGGTTTACTATGGACTAGACAAGGTGTGGGAGTGTCTCGACTGGGAATCAAGCCGCGGATCACTTGTACGAGTGGCAAGTATTCTACCAGAGAACAACCAACGCAAAATATGGGTGTATACGCACAATATGACAAAACCAGAAATTAAAACACACGATAGTACGAGAAAAAAAAAGGGGTAGGAGAAGCAGAAGGAGACTTACTTTACTGTTGCCCATATCACCACCATCCACAGATAAAGCTTTAATGTTTAAAATATATAAGAGATAATCAAAAAAGAAAAACATTAGTCCATAAAACAAAAAAACAGCTATTTAAATCAATACTCAGTTACAATATAGACAACAAACTATAACCAAATGTTCATCAGAGTATAGGAAACAAACAAACTCAAATAGCAACCATCAAATATATATGATCCTTAATTTCACGTGTTGGAAAATAAGCACTTATTCGACCAATAATCGAGTATACATATGTGTGTATACATACAAACTAATACATGTACGATTAAGTTAACAGATAATACAGTATATAAGAGAGGTTGATCAGTAGTCACCGGAGAGATGTGACTGGAAGCGTTTATCAACTTTTGCAACGAATCCAACAATAATGAGTGAACTAACAATTTAGAGTCATGCATAGTAGAGTAGATCAATTTAAATTGTTGGTGGACATGCACGTGTACCTTAATGAGCTGGAACAACTTTGATTACAAACCAGCTGTGGTGTACGTGGACTCCAGAATCTGACTGACTAACTGACTGGTTTTAACGCAGAACTTTGCACAGACGTGCACCAGTTCCAGTTGCCACTCTCCAACCATGTAACACAAATCAACAGAACAGAGTAAACAGAAATTAAAGAGAGAGAGAGAACACAAAAGTGTGAGGAAAAAAGAAAAGTAACATGGAAGAATAACAGAATTTTATTGGATCTTATAAATCACAACGAGTGGATGCATCCGCGCTAGCGATCACTGAGAACGATCACTTTAAGCCATATCACCAATTGTCTCCAGCCATCATTGGTTGTTACCATCGCGACGACCCCAACACCTCCCGATATGGTTGGCTGACTGGCTAGCTGGCTTAAACTAACTGTTGTGGATTTCATTGACTGATGAAGCCATGTTTTCGTCTGACCACCACCACTAGCTAACTCTTTTCCAACATCATCCACCCTATATCAGTCAGCTAACATTGCCCGTCGTCGACGAAGGCGATCGATGACTAGACATGAGTGCGTAACACATGTCCTAACCATCTCTCTCAATCGGTGTAACTGCTTCACAACCAACTTGTCGATTGATTTCTCCTCCCACCTACCTAGCACTCGACCGATGCCTAACCAAGTCAATATCGCTCACCGTATTATGCCACCTAACACATGGGAGATAGAACGTAGGCACCTGTGATCAAAGACAGCCAGCCAGTCTTTTCATGTCTTCCATTTTCAGTGGCTATGTCTCACTCTCAGCCAACCATAAAGGGAAACGGAGCGAACTGTTGAGCAGTACACACACGCCCCTTTGGTAGATAACCAGCCAACCGGATATCACGTCTGCTAAACCAGAGATGGCGTAAGTTGGCATATGTCAAACGAGCCTTCTGTATCCGTGCTGAGATTTCGTCAAAATCCGAACAGATCGAATAGCGTACGAACTGGTTTTGGTCACCAACAACCATTGGAACGTAGCTCCTGACGCCACTTCACAGCCTTATGAATTAGACAGCAAGTCAAGGCTCGGGGAAGGGGTGGAAAGTGACCCCTTAGGATAACCACCTACTTCGCGCAGGGCGTCCGAGAAGTATCGCAGCCCTCATTCGCATGAGATTTTGTAAGGCGCATCTTTTGGTGCCCATCATGTACCAAGTTTGTGCATTAACAGAATAATAAATAAATACAAGTGCAGGTTGTTACACTTTACAAAAGTACACAAAAGCGGGGAAGATTAAAGAACAGTTTTACAGTCTGGAATAATGGGGGAATACATCTGCGCGATTTTTTCAAAGCTTTTACCTCATAGCACCAGACAGCAGTGAGACAATCTATACTTACCGAAATCAACACTGAAATCAACACTCAAAGACGTCATTAATTAGTGCTACATTATAGTCCGATTACCATTAACTCTTTTACAAACTAACCCTACTTCACTTAACAAGGTTTGGATAAGGAAGGCAATAGTTCCGCATGCGTAACGCATACTCTAGCTAGCTAAATCAATGGAGTTTTACAACATCTCTTTACCTAACACTCTAAGTTATACCTTATCAATATTTGTCACCTTTTTCAAACTAATGTGAGCAACTAAAAAAAACAGACACCTGTGATCGAAACTCTTTATTGTTTTCATTTTTACCATTACGGCCAGGTTTTAAGCCGCTTCAATAAGGATAGAGTGAAGTGCTGAACAGTACACGCTCCTATCTAAAAGATAACGCAACTCGGTCTGTGTCCAACAAATCTTTACTCCCCAGCCTAGAACTAGGAGACAGTGCAGACCAGTTATGTAGTATCGCATACTAAACATACTGGGATTATTGCTCAAGGTGTTCCGAAGACTCTTCATTTTATCGACACCCTCACCTACGAGCACTGCACTTACACACTATACGTTGACGAGGCGCTTCCCTGGTGATAGGTTAATCCCTGAGACTCTGGAGTCGCGCCCAGGCTTACTTCCATCAACTAATTTAATGAGAATAGTAGCAGCAGGCATCCTTCTTGCAGGTGGAATACTACAAATTCGTCAGTCGAACTAATTCATAATAAGTTAAAAAGAAGTGATTGCATATCTATACCAAAGATCCATTAAATCCTGTTATTTTTAAACGGAAAGGACAATAAGCGATTGTGGAGTAGAAAGAACTGTATCATCGAATATGGGATAATTCTGCAACATTATGGAATTGCTGCACATATATTACGGGTTTGGTCACGAGCTGACATCAGTCAGGAAAAGAACTGGGAAATCATGAAGTAGTGGACAGTCATTTCGTCCTAGTTTGAGACTCTTCACGGTATGCAGCTATCAGAGGTCAAACCGAGGACTTTTCTTACACAAGACGACCTCGTAAATAACTCAGCCACTAAAACCCGATCCAATGGCTTATGAACTCCAACTTACATTAAAGTACTAGATTGCTTATGCAAACTCTTTAGGCATGTCTAGATCAATAATTTTAGGAAGAGTACAACAAACGTTCATGTTGATAATGTACTTAAAATATGCTCATATTCATTAAAAGGTCTTATGTGTTGACCAGGCAGATGACGTTATTCACCCAGAGAGATCACACAATGAAGCGAATTGTAGAAGATGCTATATATGAATGTGACGTTCAAAGGCGACCTTATGGCCAACATCCTAAAGAGAAGAATATCTAACGCCCCGAAAAGAACATTCTCTGCGGCTACATTACGATTGGTATTCTCAAGCCCCACCCATCGTTCTTCAACAAATCCAAAGATAAACTATTGCACTTGCCCACTGTATCTGTCAATTTACTTGTTCATGAGGAAGTGAGGGAGATATTTATTCTTCGTTCGATGCGTGTTTTAGCTAAAGGAGTAAAAGGACATTGTCCCGCTAGGCTACGAAAAGGTAACAATGGGTCACTAATACATATGGATATATTCAATACTAGTCACTCAATATGCAAGGAGGATTCATTCAAGGCCATCTACAAAGTCAAAAGAAACCTCCCGAAAACGATAAGCTTCCATACACTTTACATTGCCGAGGACTTAGTGATGCGGATTTATAAATAGCTTTCTGTCGGGAGTTAGTAAATGGTCTGAGTCTAACTGTCTTAAACTGAATCCTTCTTAATGTCAAACTGTTAATTTCAGCTTAAGATATAAAAGACAGTTAAAAGAAGTCATCGATTCTCATGACAGTTGTAAAATTGACGACAATGATATAGGAATCAAATCAGAAATTAAGTATCTTGGACTTATTCTCTCTCTTCTGATCTCTCCTGGTCTTTCCATATCTTAGCAATCTCCAGTAAAATATTCCGCCTGACATTTTACATTAAGAACTTTAGGCACTCGGGTATAACTCAACCCCTCCTCTTACAGTTCATAAACTCTTGCATCCTACCTATTCTTCTCTATTGTTCACCCCTGCTTATTCTTTCCTGGTTTGCTTAAAAAAGGACTATGTCACAATTCGTAGAATGCTGAAGACTGTCAGTAGGGTGAGTGGTGTCCCAGTGGACCACATAGTTAACGTCGTTGTCGATAGGTACTTGACTTCGTGCAATAAATTTCCTAGAGGGATTTTGTCTGACTTGCAGCATCCGCTTTACCCTAAGCTTTCACCTTGCATCTCCTCAGGTAGAACAAGAAGTAACTTCATAAAACTGTATGCTCGCACGTCTAAGTATAAAAATTCTATGATATCATACTTGGGACGTATTTTATGTGATGAAAATAGTGTCAGGCAAGAACTAACTAACCTTTCTCCCTCATCTACTAAATAAACAATTTCTTCCATTCATCCTTATATACCTTCAAGCTTTACTTTTATTATTTCTATTAATTTTATGGTCGTATTGCTTCTTTGTTTTACTCTCATAATTGCAAACACCATCACCATATCATGTTAAGAGAACATTATATTCAATATTTTTAAACATGCTAGGATTTCTATACTGCATTGACAATACTGTGTGAAACAAGCCCACGGCAATCTTCTCTTGTATTATTATTACCTTAGCTGTTATCATTATTATTATTATCTCCATTACATATGCTGCATGTTTTTGACACTACCTCTGTTGTAAATGTGGAAAATTTTCTGTGTGATTAATTTTTATTTATAATTTGAGGAAATTAGATGCAATATTGTGATTAATGCTGAAAATTCCATTCTGTATCACAAGTACTGTTTTTGGAATAAAGTAAATCATTACTACTATTATTATTTATTTACACAGAAGAAGCTTTTCTACACCCTGCTTTTACCTTGGGTATAATTCTAAGTTTCACTATTTTGTTAATAGTGGTTTTTTTCAATTTTCCTATGACGTCTTAGTAACATCTTTTTTAAAACTAACCCTTTATTTACTCTTTCTACCTAACTATTATATAATTTATTTTGGACACGTGTCTCCATGCTCTTTCATCAACATCTTATTTCATATTACGCAACCCCTGTGAATACCTACAAATCTTCACATCACACTTTCGAAACGTTTTGATGACGTAAACAATAATCATTATAATTAG